ACATACATACATACATACATACATACATACATACATACATACATACATACATACATACATACATACATACATATATATATCAAATAATATTATATATAGATCCCCCATGTACAGCTCGCTAGATGCTTTGCGGCCGACTTTATAGATAATAGCCTTGTATAAACTGGAATGGCCACATGATTGTCACGATATCTTTATATTAGGGGAATCACTTAAGGAACCGCGCAGGGATATTTGTTTCATGAGTATCGTTTTCTGTGAACAAATTGAGTTGCTTAAGAGCCAATCAATCAATGGATTGGTTGAAGGGAACATCTACAGGAAACCACCGTTTTCATGGTCTTTACACCCAAATAAAGGTAAAAACTCAGAGGTCCCTTGTAAATTGAGGCACAGCAGATGTTGGTCCACTCTTAAAATCTTTTGATACTAATTATAATCATATATGATAGTGTTTTCAGCAGTAAACCGTCCCATTTTGGGGTACCAAATTTTGAAGTGGAGATGTCAGGGGTTACTTATGGCAACGGCAGCAAGATGGTCATCCATCCCATGGGAATCTAAATCAATGGATTCTTCCCATCCAAGAACTAGCAGAATTCCAGCAGATTCTCATCCCATTTTGAAAAATGGAGCTTTCCAAATGGGGCTACCCCCAGTTATCTGAAAAATAGGATTGTCATGGATCCATGAAAAAAACCATCCAGCTATTGGGGCTCCAATTTTTCAAGGCCCAACTTCCTGGACTCGACACCAGGCTCCCCGGCGCACAACGTCGCTGCTGGCCGACAGGCTCTCAGTGAGGTCGATACTGGGAAGGCGAAGATCAACGAAGCCCAGATTTTTTCATGTGATTTGCCATCATTTTTCTATTTTCTATATGGAAATTTAAAGGGGGCACCTGGTGAGGAAGTTTTTTTGTGGATATTTATGGATGATTATATGATGGTTATAATTAATGATTGTAATTACCATTACTATTATTATGGATTTCCACAAATGATGGATTTTCCATATAATCAATGTATATTATGGATGATTATATGGAGATTTCCATAAATGGGGGATCCCCGATAGCTGGATGGTTTCTTTCATGGGAATATCCATCAATGGATGATATGGGAGCCGAAGATGCTAAGCTGGAGACGTCCTGAAAATTTGTTGGGCCAACTTACCCACAGTTGCTCTGCTTATAGATGTTATACATGTATATATATATATATATATGTGTATATATATGTATACACGTATATGATGTTATACCTGAATTGGTCTTGGTCTCGATCTATAAATGTAAATACATATCATTGTTCATTGCGTACTACTATGGACTATTCTACCATATTCTACCAATATGGTAATACTTATTATTATGTATTATATAATTACGTACAGTATCTAACATCATAGTATAGTATTATGATTTATTCAATGGTCCTATGGCATCATACCGTAATTACCCATATTAATATAGCTTATCTTAGATTATAATATAGACTTACTTATTATACTATATACTCTATATTATATATCAAATAGATTTAAATAGATTACTATACCACTTTGGATTTCCTTTGCACATACCCATGTGGTTATACCTCCGATGACACCTTGGCAGTTGGACAGAAACGCGCGCGCCTTCGAAGACATCGATATCTTGGCGACCATGGAGTTAAAAACTTCGAGAAAGTGAACCACCTTGGGAGCTTCAAAATCGGGTTGAGTCTATGAAATTCCATTGAAAATCCACGAACATCCATGAAACCCGTGAACATAAACTAACATCCATGAAAACCCGTGAACATCTATCATTTTGGAGTTCCACCGGAAACTTCGAAGGGCCCACAATCACTAGGTCTTGATTTTTGACCACAATAGGTAGGGGGGATTCCCACCATCCAACTAACTGGGCCTTTGGCACACTTTCAACAGTTGCAACCGCGCCCATTTCTCTGTGAATCCAATGTTCTGAAACCCTGCAGAAACCCATTTCCAATGAAATGTACCCTCTGGTAATTTATGGAAATGCCATGAAATGCCTACGTTTCAATAGGTAAATCATGGTACATCACGGTACATCATCGATATTTCCATGGACCATCTATAGCATAACTCTTAAATTACCAAAGGATATCCATTAAAAATATCGTGAGTTGGTGATTTTTTGTTGGGGATGCTCCAGTTGAGACACACCTCTGATGTCAAGGCACCCTTCAGATTTTTCTGAACGACCGCGCATGCGTTGCTCACCCTCCTGACATGGAAGGGAAGATGACAACGGAATGACCTTCAAAGATGGTGCAAGTTTCCAGCTACCCTTCGATGATCAAACATGGTTAGCTGGGAAATCCTCGAACTAAATGAGGGTTTCTAGCTGGGAACATCATCTATACATCTATAAATGGTGGATTTTGCAGTGCAATGTCTGATTACCGGGGAGTAAACTTAGCTCTGATTCGACTGTTTTTCAGTTCATATGTTTCTGCAAGCCCAGCAACAGATTGACCATGAAACAACATGGTGTTTCTCAAAATTGGGCGACGTCACCATTATACCATTGCTCTAGTCAAAATGGTCAAGTTTAGGAACCCTACACGATATCGTATTGTCTCCATGATATCGTATTGTTGTCTATATGGGGGTTTCCTGGAATGGGGGTATACCCCAATAGCTGGATGGTTTATAATGGAAAATCCTACTAAAATGGATGATTTGGAGGTACCCCTATTTTTGGAAACCTCTATATCAGACTAGTGTATGTCCCATGGTATTCCCATCATGGTTGGCTTTATACATCCGCTATTTTGCTGGAGAATGTTCCCCAAATATCTGTTTTTCTCGTAAACAACTAGATACCATAAACCATCCCCACTATGACCCGGAAAACTGCGGGTTTTTGACCATCCCCTTAAATGGTATATAGGTATGGGTTTACTACATTATAGTACTATCAATTTCTATCCATAAATCTTCCATCAATCATCCATGAATCATCCAATATAACATCCATTAACCGTCCATGATTTTACCATATCCCATTATCCCATCTGCCTTCGTCTCTATCTTGGGTGCTTCAAGCATCTCAAACACCTCGTTCTCCTGAAGGACATCCGGGCAAAAAACAACAATCGCCTGAGGTTGGATGTTCACCTACCCAAAAAAAATAAAACACATCTCATTTACCTCAAAATATCTCAAATATCTAAAAATATCTAAAAATCATGTAAAATCATTAGAATTGTGTCATCTTTACCCTTTGCTGTTGATCCCAAGAAATCAGTTCCAGCCCCAAAAAACGCTGGTGGCCAATTTTTGCAGCCCTCGGCGTGACCTCTAAGAGTCTGAGGGTGGAGCTTCCACCTAAGTCCAGCTCAATGACCCCCTTTGATGATTGATTTAAGGAGGAAATCGACCAGAATCCGATGGGATCCCATGGGTCTTCAGTAAACCAAACAAACTTCCAATCGAAGTGGTTTCTCGTTTTGTTTTTTTTCGCTTCAACCAAATCTGGGCATATAGGGTCCCATATCCAAGAGAAAAGTGCAAGAGAATATTGATGAACAAAGGATGTGTGTGTATATATATTTTAATGTATATATATATAATTATATATATATATATTTGGGATAATGGTTGGGATATAATGGGGATTGTGTTTATGATACCCCCCCCACGGTAAAGTACATCCATGGGCGGCTATGGGGTATTGTTTCAACATGCATCATCTGATAAGAAAAGGCAACCCTGCCAGCCCTGCCGACCGCTCAGTGCGCTGCTTCGGAAATTGATTTCCAAAGGGGTCGTAGTCTTCACCTTGGTGCTGAATCCACTGTTTGATTGGTTGTGTGAAGATGTCAGTTGCTGTTGAAGAAAAACTATATAAAGCTGCAGCAACAACAACATCAACATCATCATCACCATCACCATCACCATCAGCATCATCATCATCATCATCATCATCATCATCATCATCATCATCATCATCATCATCATCGTCATCATCATTATCATAATCATCATCATAATCATCACCATCATCGTCATCGTCATCGTCATCATCATCATCATCATCAGCAGCATCAGCATCAGTGTCAGCAGATTGTTGTCAAACCTCAGCCAAGGCATGATTCTAGCAAAGTCCGGCATGTGTCGCATCAGCATCTTGGACAAAGAATTGTTGGTATGTAGACAGGTTGCTGATCCCCAAACCCATTGGTTTCCCTTGCTGCTAAGTAGACTGTCAAATCAAATAATGGACTCAGGATGATTTTGGGGCAGCCCTTCAATTTAGCTGAGCCCCTGACGACATGAAGCTGGTCACTCTCTTCCACAAAGCAGGTGCCTCGGCATCTGGCTGGGGATGAATCCTATTCAACAGATCATTCATTCAATCTTAGAATGGGAATGTGAAGGTCTGTCTTGGCAAGGTCAAGCAAGAGCTGTAGACAATTTGGAGTGGGTGTTTTGAGTACTACCTGGGCAGATCTTACACATACTTTGCCAATGATATTTCAAACATCGCATTTTGGATTGGAGAAAAATATATATATATGTATATGTACATATTATGTTGTATGGACAGTTCTATAAATATATGATAATATATGTACGTACGTTGATTGTTGTTCGATGCTCTAAAAAACTATTCTTTGAGCTACACCTGCTTCCGCAGATACTCCAAAACTTCAAATCGTCCAAGGTCCTGACCAGAGTTGCCCTTCAGGGTCACCCAGCCTTCTTTGGCATCTCTCCGGGTCCTAGGGACAGGGCTGGATGGGGGGTTCTTAAAATGTGGGATCCCCAAGTCACCATGGGTTTCAATACTGAAATGATCTACAGTAAGCTTGGATGATTTGGGGGTACCACCATTTTAGGAAACCTCCATTTCTATAGTCTATAGTCTGGAACTTATGGGGAGTCAAGACTTTTGACGCCTACTTCAGAATTCTTTGAAGCCCGCCCCCTGTTTCAGGATACCAGTTGATAGGTAGGTACGAAAGATCCATTGAATCTGACAAATCTCCCACAACATATGTAATCAGTGGCATTCCATCCCCTATGTCTCAGCATCCAGAAATGGTTGCTCACCCGGTGAAACGATGTCCCTTTGGGCAAAGTAGAGACCGGTGGTCAACAATGGATTAACCCACCATTTGCAGATCATTTTCCAAGGGAAACCTCGATGGGTTTTCCACATTGTTAGTTTACCCATTTGGGAAACCCCTCTGTTAATCCAGCAATCCATGGGAAAGTGGTGTCTAGGTCTAGGTCCTCACTTTGACGCGGGAGAGCTTTCGCTTCTCGTCTTCTTGGGCCTCATCTAAGGCCTCACGTGGAAGGTTCTAACCCTGGCAACTTCATTGGGAGGTTCTCCCCCAAATAGACCAGGGATTCATGAATCTGGGGGTTGACAAGTATAGGCTATTCATGTTTGTTTTTTTCGATGTTGTTCAAGACTTTGTGGAATCAACTCCTTTCTGCTAGTTGCGGCTAGTTCTCATCCCAATGGCAAACAGGAGATTGACTTGTGGCCATGTGGTACACAGCCAAGTTCATTTCTTTGGGGAAAAACCAAATAATATGGGGATGGGTCAAAACCAATAGTACCCCTGTAGTTCACCTCAAAATAGCTGGGATTTATGGATGTTCATCCCCCTAAAAATGGTATGTATAGGTATTGATCCATAGCCATATCATTGAATATCATGGACGAATATCATGGATTAATTGGATCATTGAACAAAAATATCAAAAAATGGGATTTCCATAGAAATCATATCCATATCATAATATCATATCCCGGTGTCCCCTTATATTCTTCGAGTTATCCCGGTCATTACATCGGTCCCCGATGGTCCCCGGTCCCCGATGGTCCCCCCCGATGGTTCCTCGAAGACTTCACCTGCTTCCACCTTTCGCACCGTTTTGCTGGCACCTGGCACCCAGGACCCATGGGGACCCATGGGGACCCCCATAGGGACCCACGGGGACCCATAGAGAACCCATGCAGAATTTGGGGGGAATGAGCTGCCGAAAACGAAATTTGGGACAATTGATGACAATTGTATATTGCAAAGTGAGTCTATGCTAAATTTAAGTACTTGAACCAATTTGAAGTCCAGGCTTTAAGAGCCAGATTCTGTGGCTGAAGTGCTTCAACATGCGAATTTAGGAGTGCCCATGGGGGTCTGCTCAAAATTATCCCTAAAATGGGACGGCTGAGTACACAGCTGGGGCCCCAGGCTAACGTCCAGCGCAGTCGTCAAGGTGGTGCTTAAGCGGCAAACCAAGACCTGCTTGGTAGTGCTTAGACGCCAATGTTGATGAGAAAATACTGCCTGGTTCAACTGGTTGAACTGTCCCAAAAAATATATGAGTTGTTGATCTTATTTGGATTTGGATGGGTTGCGGTGAAACAGGACCGATGGAGAGTCACAAGTATTTGAAAGTTCCAAGCAGAAAGTGGATCGAGATTGAAGCACCAATCAAAATCCAATCTTTTGTTGCACAATTTCTTCCGATGGTGCTGAAAGATAATCCAAACTTCATTCTTGGAGGAATGCGCCAACCATGGCCAGGCCCTGTAAAAATAGACCTTTTCTTGATCTTCTCGAATTTGTTAAAAAAATATGACCCAGTTTCACCTTGCCATTCACCGTACGGACTAGCTGACTGGCAAAATAGCTTCCCCCCGAAGCGGCATCCCACTTTGATTGGCTCAACGATGTCGTTGCCGGCCGCATCTTTCACAGCAATGTACCCGATTTTTCCGTCCTCCCATCTTTCACATCATGGAACACTCCCAAGCTTCTTGTGCAATCAGCGAGAATCAAACATTGGAGTGGAAAACACTCATATTTGTCGGAAATCAATAGAAATCATCTATGTTCATATATCTATTCTATATATATATAAATGGAATTGAATGAGGCATTTTCCACTGCCAGCTTAGTTTGCAAGAGGGTAGTAGCAAGTGAGATAGGGTCCTCATGGCTTCCGCCTTCTGGGGGTAGGATAGGGGTCATCATTGAGCAACCTCTAGATTCGAGATGGGTCAAACGTATTCAAAGGGCCGGCCACTTGGAGATATTTTGAGTACTAAACTGATGAACACCATATGGGAGTATGTATGTCTGAAAATAGTGTACCAACAAAATCCATTGGATGATCATAATTTTCCCTATGAAAATAGCCATTATTGGGGATATACCATATTAAACCATCCATTTTTTGGTGGAGAAATTGTGCCCCGTGCCCAACTGGAAATCCGGCTGGGAAACGGTGGAAGTCTGTCCTTCAGAGCCTTTCCTCTGACACGGAGGCACCTCTGACTGGCATGGAGAACCAATAACCTCTACTGCCAAGTATAGCAGCATAGCACTACCCTCCACCTAACTGTTGTAGCTATGAAAAATAGACTTTTATAGATGATTTACATTGATTTACCTATACATGAAGGTGGTTTTCCATCGTTTTCCATAGATTACCAGAGGATACAGTATATCAAAAAGTCATCGCTACTCAACATTGATTCCTCAGTTTTGCTGTGTGCTGGCTGGTCTAAAAAATTGACCCACTGCAAACTGAAAACTCCTATAGTCCTATAGCCTATATAGGTGTTCAGTCTTCACCAATCTGCAGTTTCGGCAAGCTGGCTGCTATAGAAGACAGTCAATGACTCGAGCTGTCCTTGAGGTATGTGTCCACAGTCTGGCGCTTTCAATTTTTAGATGTTCGACGCTAAGGCTTATCCAAAATCTAATTCTGCGTGATCCAAAATAAGTGGGGAAATGTCCATTACGACAAGATTATTCCCCCCATTCTCGGCATAGTTGACATCCCCAGCCCAACTTCCGCCCAGGGCCACTCTGTTGCAGTTTCTCTTCGAGGACCTTCCAACACCTGCAGCCAGATGGTTGGTGGAACTCCAAGTTCTTTGAATCCTTCCCCTGCTGGAAAACTGAGGGATCATCGTCTAGCGAAGACTGGGGTTTTCCAGGGTTTTCCATGGTTTGGGGGTACCCCAATAGCTGGATGGTTTATTTCATGGAAAATCCTATAAAAATGGATGACTTCGGGGTACCCCATTCTAGAAAGCCTCCATCTCTGCATGGCCAACGACACCTGTTCTGGGTACAGTAAAAAAGATCGGCCTGGAATTGGATGATCCCACCATTTGGACCATTTACATTATATCCCCCAAGTCTTAGATCTATCAGGGGACGCCATTGATAAAGAAGTTGAAATATATATATATGGAAATATATGGATTGTCAACGACATTTATGAAACTCAATGGATTGATCTAAGCGAAAATCTCCCGGAAAGGGAGAAAGATCCAAAGCCAATGCTCACCAAATCATCGCCAAAACGACGCCTCAACGACTTGCCCGGGCCACAACTTTCTGACCTACGCTGTGCGATCCGAGGGCGCCATGTTGTGGGGATCGACATTTAGGTGGATCTAAGACGTTGCAAATGGGAGTTATAATGTGATATTACTAGGTCACTAGGTGATATTAGGTGATATACAATCGGGTAGTTCTTTCCGTTGCTGATTAAAATTGAATTTTAATGCAACAATTTACAATCAGTAATATATTCTAGCAATCTTCATATGGTAATGTCAACGGGGCACATAGGCAAATCGCCATAGAGATGTCAGACTGAAATCTGTGCCATTGGTCATTACATTGGGACCTGCACAGAAAACTCAAAACCATTTGGCGCAAAGTGCATTCTTGGTAAGGAACATCAACATAGCAGGTGTGCACAAGTCAGCGTGAACGTTAACATCCCACCCCAACCCCACCCACATCATCTTCAATAGCATATCTAATATGTACAAGAATCTGTGTTTCGCAGCGGGTCGCTAATGATTGCCATTGGCATAAATTATAGCAATGGATCACCACAAATCATCCAGACTCCACTTGATCTATAGTATTATATGGGGAAAAAGCATAGTTTGGACTTCAAGAAATCTGAACTTCTTTGACCATCTGTTCAAGCATTCTGAACCTAAATAAATGTCTCAAGTCGGGTTTATTACTTTGAATATTGTGAAGAGGGCATTTGCTTGAACAAACCAGGAACACACTGGATGAAAGATGATAAAAGTATCTCAGAGAGAGGATCAATTAGGATCGATTGGGACTAATCGGGATTAACCCAAAGAATCCAAGAAAACAACAAAAGAACCCACCAAAATAGAAACAAAACGGAACAGTCTTTTCACACAAGTCCGAGCATGGCTAAATCCAAGTAGTCCCCAATATTTGTTTGTGCGTATTGCGTATGTGTGAGTCCCAATCAATATTGTCCACCCAAAAATGAACGAAAATATCTAAAATAGAGCTTTTATTGGGGCGCTCACAAGATTAAATCGTGACTCATACTCAAAATAAGGGCAGGCACGGCCAAAAGATGCAGACCACCCTCCCAACCTCTGGGCTGGCGCCCTCGAACTCAGCATGGAGTAACAACTCCTCACGACAACTCAGGAAAGGCTTGGCACACCTGGAAGCGAGCAGCAACCAAATGATATAGTGGGAAATAATGGTATAAAATGGAATAATATATATTTTATATATATATATATCATATACAGTGGGATATAATAATAGGATAAATCAATATACGCCGGTAATGAGAGACATTGGGATATTGCCAACCGTATGATGATATGGGTACAGGTCACAAGTACGGCACCAATGGATTGGGGAACCAAATTTGCAACACCAAGTCAGGTGGGGGCGGCGGCTTTACCTAACAAAGTAGAGATTGACCCAAAGGTCCCAAAGATCCACCACCCTCACCCGTGGTGGGTCTTACTCTAGTTGCCATTGTTGCCAAGGTAAATCACTCCCGCTATCCCATTCTACACATTATTAGGCTTTGTCTGAAAATAGGCTATACCCCATATTCCAATGGATTGTCATCAATTTCCCCAATAAAATTGCTGTTTGTGGGTATCCCCTATTTTCAGACTAACCCTTGTAGTATCACATCGGCCATGCCGTGCCTCTCCAGAAAACTGGTGCCTTGGCTGCCCTTCAAAGACACCCATCCTGCACGAGATCTCAGGGCAAAACAAGTGGCTTTTGGTACCTGAAATAATTTGGAGCTACAATTGGGAATACCCAAAATCCATTGGTTCTTCATCATCATCATCATCATCATCATATAATTATTATACATATATTGACATATATATAGTACACATTAACATTAGCCTTTGGGTCCCGGTGGGTATATCCCATTTTCACACATTTTCACAAACTCAACCGGACCGTAAAATCACATCAGGCTGCACCTTCGGAGAGGTCACTCAGGGCTTGGCATCGGACACCTTAGGCGTCTCTGAATGTGTTCCGGAGGAGTAAAACAGAGCCATTTTCTTTTTCGGTGCGGGATGATTATCAGTGACCCTGCCATTCTTTTTGAAGATTGGCCAATAGTTTCCAATGAGATAGTTGAGAATGGGGTGCAACCACCAATCATTTTGTTTGACATTGATGTGTTGACACTTCGCTTTCAATGATCGCAACACAATGAAAAACAACTGCTTACACGTTCCCCACATGCACAACCGTAATTAATGCCGTAATTCGTCAACCCATCCGGTGCACATCTGCGTCAGCGGCTGAGCGCCGCGTACGCATCATGCCTTGCTCATCATTCTTCGCAGGCTCTAAGACCTGGCAGCGGCAGCGGATGGAGAATTTTGCATTACATCTATAACAGGTCTATAATGGTTATTGATGGTTAAAACATGGTTATTGATTATTGTTATATAGTGTTATAATATGTTATAATCTATCCGGTTATTGATGTAATGCTATCTATATACATGGTTATTGATGGCAAATTAATTATGGTTAAATGGTTAAAACAAACACTATACATCTAGATCATACAAGAAAGTAAAAGCCCGAACCATCCCGGTTATCCAATTTCATTGCTTGGACAAAGCCCTGTGAAGTTGTTGTTTGCGTCGAGGGTTTGATGTTTTTGTCCACTACTCGTCGAAGCAGGGTTTGATTCATCGTCCATCTATCATAGTAGCCGAATTTATCAATCTGGGAATCAAAGATCACCTTCAGCAAATCTAGGCACCCAATTTCTTACGATGAAACAACCCTAAGAAACTCATGATGATCAACAGCTAGGTACAATCCCAAGCAGGTGCAGGACTTCTTGATGCAAGGCCAAGAACATCCTAAAAACCGTACGAAACAATCCTTCCCATCAAAGCCATGACCTCATCTTGGTTTCTGTGTATGGACCCTCAGACCGAATGTCCCTGGCTTCATCACTGAAGGGACCTTCACGTATTCGCCAACAATGAGCTTTTTGACCTCACATCGTACCCACCATCCCTGGTGGGCCATTGGCTTTCCATAATTTGACCGTGTTTTTAGCCCATTTCTGACATCCTTAAAAATTTGAGCCATGGCTTAGATATCGCTGAGAAAACTATGCTTAGATATGCTCAGATAATGCTCAGATATGGATCCTGTAGCGAACAATATCTGATTTCCTCCACCCAGGCATCGCTGGGCACCAGCACAGTCTTGGCAGTTTTCACCTCGAAGTCTGATGTCATTGATATCTCCCTGATGCAGCGCATGTAGTCCTCAGCCAACTCGCCATGATTTTGTTTAAGGTGACACCTATGATTTGTTGGTAATCAAACATGGCAATGGAAAATCCCCTACAAATGGGATACATGGAAAATCATCTATAAATGGTGGATGTTCATTTGCTATGTTTGACTACCGAAGGGTTAGCCATCCCACTTATCCCACTTATCCCACTCATCCCACTCTATTGAAGAGCATCCAAACACCTGGTCAAAAATCAAACATGTGGGACCTGTGGGATGTAGACGTGTAGGATTATGTTCATGATGTGGGGGTTGTCGGAAAACAAAGTACCAAATGTGATGTTTCTTTAACCAGTTTGCCTATTAAGTGATGCTGCCCATAAATGGGGGTATACACTTACGCACCGTTTTCGGAGAGACCCAATTGGATATTGTTGGTCATATCCCCATCATATCCCCTCAAATCCAAAATTTGATAAAATGTAATACCTCCATGTACTCATCAACGTCATTTTTCATGATGCCCCATGCTGCCATAAGTGTGGCCGTTGGCCCGCGCGCCTGCAGCAGTAAAGTGAGACTCAGCTTGCTGAAGCCGCAACTGCTGTAGTTTTCCAGGCCCAACTCTACTTCCGAAGCCTACAGCATCGAGTGTGGGAAACCCTGGCTGCCATAAACCTACCATGACTGGGGATGGTTTCTAGCACCAGTGATGACTTGGGGATTGTTTATTATTGGATTGCCCACATTATACTAAACCAGTGGGTTTATCATGTTTACCATCAGGTCATTCAAGATGGCTCTCGAAAATATTCCATAGAAATAGATGACTTACCCATTTTTATGATGGTGGTTTTCCATTGATATATCGAATTATACCAAAGGGTATATGTATCAATATTAGATGTTTAGGTGGATATATAATGGTGGGTATTCCGTGGTATCAAATATTAGTAAGGGGACAACGATTGTTGTTAAACATCTGACCGTCCTGGACGTCCTCCGCGCCTGCAGAGCTTCCCCCACAAAGTCGCGCAGAGCCTACAGGCATGTAATAAATCAAGCTCCAGGATTTCACCATTCAAATGGAGGCACCATTAAAAAATCATCAATTTTGATAGGATTTTCATGGATTTTCCATTACAAACCAATTTTTTATGTGAATGTTATGGCATTCTTGGGTACAATAAATTCTGCTCGCCTCGATTGGAATGCTGCTGTTCTCTTTTCGAAGCTTGTCGAAAAGGGCCTGGCAAATTAGCACACCTTTGGGCACCAAGCGTTCGCTGCTGCGCAGATCTTCGCAGCTTTGCTAAATCAGAAAACAGACGGAAAAAAAACATCCCAAACCAAGCAGCATTTCTTTCTGGGATTTTGGCAGTGGTTTTCCCGCGCGGATAAATCATGGGACCTCCACATCTGATCCATCCTTGGCCGCTGCCTGCAGGTGCCAACGGGGCATTTTCGAGTGGTTTTCTTCCATCACCTCTCATTCAATGAAGTGAATTAGAGGAACATTGCATAAGAAAACATGACTCTTGCCACCAAATATAGGGGTTTCCGGCAAGTTGTCTTTTAAACTGATTCTGGGAATCCAAGACAGTGTAGAAACATCTGGGTTTCTGCCAAGAGTTGACTACAGACCTCGTCCATCCACTCGGTAACTCCAATTTCCAGGCTGTGACAACCAAGATCTCTTGTGACCGAGCAGTCAAAAAGGCAACACGTCAAGCGATGTTATGCCGTGACCTGTGCATCGAGGCATATCGAGGCTGTGGGTCAAGCTAACAGACAAAGACCTACCCTCTGGTAATTTAACATAGCTATTGAAAATGACCCATTTATAGTTGTTTTACCCATTAATAATGGTGATTTTCCATAGCTATGTTAAATTACCAGAGGGTATCCCACATCCTCTGAACATCTGCCCGGCATGCCTCTCTCAGAGCTGCGCTGACGGCTTTTTGAGCATCTGATGTGACTTTTTTCCGCCTGTCCTGTCGGCTTGGTTCTGAAGACCGGCGCAACATGGAAACTCCAGCCATCCGCCGGAGTGGTCCATCAACTAATGTCAATGAATGGGTTTAAGTGAAAATCTATCTATATATTAACTAAATATATATAACACCATGTTTGTTTGAAACCATTCCTGCCAACTTTCCCTTGAACCAATCCATTGATTAGATAGATTAAGCAAGAAAACCAAACCAATGAATTTGCTGACATTCTGGCCATTCTGGCTTCTGAACTTTCGGAAACGCCTTTTCCATCCTTTTTCCCTCTTCCATCAAGAGTAACCCAGACATACCCAGCACCATGACTCAGCAATCATCAGCCAGCCTGCACGGCATACAACAGTTTCTGGCAATCTTCCTCCTGTGGAAGTCCAGGGCTGCAGCTTGTGATTTGTAGCATCAAAGAACCTTCAACATCTGAAGAGGGTTTTCGATGAACCATGGACGATTTATCCAAAAATACCTTATATTTTGTGTGTAGTGTGTATATACAGTTTGTATTTTATGTATATAGATATTGTGTGCATATATCATGTACATTTACATTTTACGTAGTAGTAGAAAACATGGAGATGACACGGAGACAACATCGGATACACATCATCTGGTACTTTGATAAATCAGAAAGATTTGGGAATTTGGGATCCCTATCACCTATGGATAACTCAGGATGATCCAGGTGCTCCGGGTGCTTCCTATCAGTCCTGCTCTACAAAGTGCCAGCCCTGATACCCTCTGGTAAATTAACATAGCTATGGAAAATCACCATTGTTTATGGGAAAATCCACTATAAATGGTCATTTTCAATAGCTATGTTAAATTACCAGAGGGTAATATATCATCATGTCAATCATGTCACTTCTGTTCTGATACACTGGTCCATTAAAAAAATCTCACTGCCCATGAGATGAGACATCTTCGTTTTACATGTGGCAGCCACGCCTCAGCTTCTCCATCCCAAAATAGCCAACGAATAAATGAAATACCACCCCTTCAGCAAAAGCTTCACCAGTCTGTCCGGATTCCAAATCTCCGCCAGGAAGCCATTCAAGGTGTCCCACACCTGGCCAGGCTGGGAAGTAGATCTAGTTCTTCTTGTTAGATCATGTTAGATTCACCATTTCTTTTGGAAAAGTCTGGAATAGTCTCCAAAGTTCTTGCTGGCACACTAGAAATGGTTTACCTCGCCAAGTTGGATGGTTCAACAATCACTAGGACCTACTGAGAATCGTGAAAATGAACAAGACAAGAATGTCAGAATGTTTATTTGAGCAACCCCTTCAAAACTTTGTCCATCAGTTCTACCAGGAACCCTCATGTTTTTTCCCCACATAGGCTTCGTGGGTTTCCAAGTCCGAAGACTTAAGACACGTCAATGCACGACAGGTTGTGGCAATTGCAAACAGCAAATCATGAGATGATGAGACAGCTCCAAGTGTGAACTAAGCACCATAGAACAAGCTGACGTGCCTCACATCACCACATATCACCACTATAGCCCCCTTAAAAATCCATGGTTTAATCCATGGTTTACTCAGTTTCCTCAACGCTGAGCAGATCGGAGCAGATCACGCCTGAGCGAGTGGACCCGAAGTGACGTACTTCACGTAGCGTTTGTCCGCGTCCAGCTTCTGACGCAGATCCACGATCGCCTTGATGGATCCAACGGTGGAGTGTTCCAGTGCCAGGCTGCCAGAGGGTACAATCTGTTGCAGGATACTAATCGAAATTTCTTGCCATCAAGGGGAAACGGCTTCCATGCTGATTTTCCCCCCTCCAAATCTGCGACCCTGGTTTCTGAAATGATTTCAGCAGGGTGTCAAGAGGCTAAGCTGATCTTGACGTTGCCCTCCATTGAAACCTCCACATCAAAATTATCATGAATAGGTGCTGTCTGCACAACTTACAACTCGCATGATGATTCTGCTGTTTATCTATATATGCATCTTCAAGATGTTCTATCCCATTAGCAAACATTTTTTTGATATATTATAATATATTATATACATATAATATGTGTTCCTGTGACATATATACGTGCATGCTAGCTGCTAGCTATTACAATTTTCCCCCACGTGCACCTTGAACCATCCGTCACGCACCACAGCAAGAAATCTTGATGCCTGGTAGAGGTTTTCCAGTGCCGTCTGAGACTTCACCAGCTCCTGGGGCAAACAATCCATTGAAACGATGTGGAAAACATTGAATATTTTGGAATATTCATCGTATGTAATATAATATATTTATATATATTTCACGTCTGTACCTAAACTACTGAAAACAACTTGTCCAGTATCTACAATTTTTAGGAAAACAGTGGATTTGTCTAGAGTCTAGAACTGGATTTACATCCATTTACTGGCAAATTTCATAGGGAAAAATGAAGCTTTTCAACCCTTGGATTCTGCCTATGTTTGGATTCCCATATCTACCCATGGAAAAGCCGTGCCGGATCACTGGATCACCCCACTTTCTGTGATTCCAATGGTAAGATCATTAAGGATTTTTTGAGGAAATTCAAGGAATTTCAAGGAATTTTAAGGAATTTTAAGACTATTAGTCCACCACTAGTCCACCACTAGTCCACCATTAGTCCACTATTAACCACTATAAAACTACTCCCAGTGGGTCTACGTCCCTTGGATCGTCGCCTGAATGGTGCAGGAACTCGTGGTATCTGCAGCCTTCAGAGACTCTGCGGCTGGGATGACCTGGCTGAGAACTTTGGGATCAGTCTCAGCTAGGTGGAGGGAAAAAAATGATATATAGATAGATATATAATGATATGTATATATATATTGTAGATATAATGATTTATGTATATATAATGATATGTATATATATATATATAATTACGTACAGTCATGCAGGTTAGATGATTTTAGCCATGTTGACATCCTTTAATCAATCGTACGTTCGGACTTATCATCCCAACTAAAGATTGAAAGAGTTGTTGAACTATCTGATAAACAGGTGAAACCACCCGCTTGAGTGTGTATGCTGTAAATTGAAATGACCAGAGATCCCACGGAGTTAGCGTATTTATTCGCATTTCTGTGGGGTCACCAATACAAAAGGGCTGCAACCAAACTCAACTTGGTGCTGCCGTGTGTTTCTGGAAATGCAAGAGCCTTCATTTACCAATTTTCAAGCCTATTTTGGAAGCAGGAGACCATTCTTGTGATCAGTCAACTGACTGTTCTGTAGGCCCTGTAGGCCAAGGAATTCTGATGCATTCTGAGGTACAGTACAAGTTTTTGAAATACCAAAAGATGACCGGAAGATAATCAAACGACAACGCTTGGGCCAGTTGGGTGTTGCTAGTCAACTTTTAAAACTTTTGCAGATTTGGTGATGAAGTCTTCCTGACTTGGAAGAACTGTGTTCAAGCACTGAAAATTGAAGGTGTACCAGCTTGTGTGCATCTATCTGGATTCCAAATGTTGATCTGCTAAGACTTCCCATTTCCCCCAAGGATATACGGGGGAAAAAAAAATCATCTGATCATCTGGTTCTTCTGAGTTTGACCTCTCCGAAACGTTCCACATTTGGTGTCGCCATCGTTCTCGCCATTTGCCCCACCTCACTGATCATGGGTCTCACCAGGTCCATTAGATCCTTGGCGCTGTTGATCATCCTCTCCGCTTCATAGCGATCCATAGCCTGCAGCATGGCGCCATGGCAGCCATGGCTGAGCTGTCTTTACGTTGGCTTGGCTCAAAATAAGGGATATATTTGTGGATGTAGGGCGAATTGCGGCGATCTGTTACTTCAGTATACTTCTGGAATATACCATTTTGGGCAAGAATAGTCAAGTTAGCTAGCAGCTAGCCGCTAGGCTTTTTGAAACATGAGCACAGCTTACTCAGTTCAAACAGCACCTGCTGTGCTTCAGTGGATTGGTTTGAATTGAGAATCTGTCCACGGATCATCATTCAATGGAATCCCCAGAAATATATGAAGAAAACATAAGAAAACCAAAAATTGAAGGGTACTCGCATTTTTTTCTGCAACCAACTCTCACCAAGAAAGGTTTTAACCCATGAAAACATCTAAATCTGTCAATCCTGGCTACAAGTAGTGACCATAGAAACAGCATGGAGAAAAACAAGCATCCCTTGAGTGGGTCTATCCCTCTTGATCATCTCAAAACATCTGCAGAAAGTGCAGGATACCCCATAGGGATCCCTAGGGGATCCCTAGGGATCCTATACGAAATCGCCTCCTGTTTGCGGGTGGACTCCTTTTCCTCGATCTCCGCCAGCAACTTCTTCGCTGTGGAGACTTTCTTCCTGGCCAGGTCCGCAGGTCCGGTCCGAAAGCCCGTTGGATGCGGCGCCCAAGCGGGGCGCCCCCCGCAAGGCCGAGCCAGGCGCACTTGAGGCCGTTCAGAGTCTGTTGCACCTGGACATGGCAAGGTGTGGACCTTTGGAACAAAAAAACAGGGATGATGATATAGTTACTGTATATAATACAATATAATACTATATATATATACGTATATATATATAACTTATATAACTTATAACAGATTCTAACAGTATATATAACTTATAACAGATTCTAACAGTATACAGTATATACATAGAACCTCATCTTTGATTTTACAGGTTCCTAATGCTCTTTTGAGATCAATTCTTGGTGCAAGTAGCACCCACATGGATCACCCAAAACTTTCTCTACCCTCCATTTTTTGGGCACAACATGGCACAACCCATCTTGAAAATTCATGATTACAAAAATAAAGTTTCAAGGGTTGAGTCATCTGGTACTCTGTGATTTCAAACAAGCAAATACATGAAGTCAGGTACTATACAGGAGTCTACTAACTGAAAGCGTTCCTTTTTGAACTATTGTGGTTCCGTCTCATCCATTTTGACATGCCATAGCCTGATCCACGACTTACTTGGGGCGAAAAAATCATAAACAATCCTAACTCATGGAGGATTCTCACCTTGGCTAGAGTGGCTAGAGCCATACTGCCAACTGCACACGCAAGTAGCATAGCTTAGCATGATTTGATCCCAATGGATCCTTGCTGGCTGAGCCTGAGCAATTCGCGGCCGCAACTTTGTCACCTCGGCCTGCGCAGGGGTTCAGAACGGAGATTCCTGGGGTTGAGGTTGAACCACTGAAAATTAGATCTGAAGAATAATGAAGAATGTGGGAATATCTCCAACAATTGTTTATAACACCTGGCCAATTCATTGGGTTTGACAGGTTTGGCAACGTGGAGTCTGGTACTATTTGAGACCACGAACGCAAGCACGGAAGATCTAATGTTCAGGGTTGACCAGCGTTGATTCAGTTCATTTAGGAATATTTTGGGATATTTTGGGTAATTACTTGAGGGTGGCTAGGGGAACCAAACTGGATAATCATACAAAATAGGAAGGGATTTTCCAGGAAAACATTGATACTGGATTAATTGTGCTAGATGATGCTAGATGATTCAAGCCATAGTGAATGTGAAAACGACCAAATGTCCAAGTCATCTTGCGTTTTAGAGCCGTGCCCATCTGCTTAGAGCCGTAAAGAAACCAGCCGAGAACATTAGAATGAGGTTTGAGGTTGGAAATAGAACTGGCTGATTCCGATACAGTTGGGGGTGGCTCTGGATTTCGGTAGCATCAACAAATTAAACATGCCTCAAGCATCTTAAAGGAAAATCAGCTTCCGACCCGATTTGTTTCTGTTTGCTTAGTTCTCTTACCAACCAGCCACTGGAGTGCTCTCCCCCTCCCCCCAACCTTGATGTCGGGCAAAGGCCCATTATTTCCGCGCATCTTGCTGTCCAACTGCTTGGCTGTGGAAGTCAGGGCCTGGCTGGAGACAAAGATGACCCGTCCCCCGAAGATGAACATATGGGACGCCAACATAAATTTTTCCAATATGATCCAATATGTAGTTCCAATACCAAACCAAGTTTCTGAGGGTGTATTTACTATTTGAGGGAAGATGGGGGAAGGGACCAATTGTCCAATGAAGGCTTTACTTTGTCGGATGCTCCGTTTCCTTCCCCTAGTTCTGCAGGAGGAAATGGGACTCCGAACTGCAGCTCCAAACAGCCTTTGGTTCAAAGCTCTAGGATTAGCAAAGAAAGCTACAGATGAGACAAAGATCGACAATTTGTGTATATGCAGCATATCTCCTATGCTGGCAGAAGGTGCAAAATACTGGTGACAGCCATAAGGCCACCCAGCACCAAATAAAGAAACAGCACCGTGGCTAAGAGCATGGGTCTCCAGCCCATACGTTGAATGGACTTCAAGTCGCTTTCCAGTCCTAGACCCACCATCGCCATGGCTGTGCACCACGTGCTGAACAAGCTCAGTCGTTCACTGATGACATGGGGAACCTGCACGCAAGAAGATGCAAGACAAACCCCGAAGAATGCAAAGGCAAACCAAGGGGTTTGAACGCGGGAGCTTCTCGCATTTTCTGACGACATCCTGCTAAGTATCACCAGGAATGGAGCCAGCAACAGCACTCTTACCAGCTTGGTCAACAACGCAGCTGATGCCACTGCCGGTGACATGGCATTTCCTGCAGCAACGACACCTGCAACCTCATAAACCGTGGCACCTGTGTAGATCCCCATGATCTTCGGAGAAAGTGAGGCCCAGGGCAGTTTGGTCCACATGATGGGATACAAAAACATGGAAGCGATCCCAAAAACCATCACCGTGGCCAAAGCAACGGAGACCTTTGCCCCAGATGCTCCCTCTTCTTCCACCACTGGGGCCGCGGCCATCACTGCTGAGACGCCACAAATGGATGCCCCAGTGGTGACCAGTAACGCCACGGAGCGGTCCACTTTCAACAACTTGCCCACCATGGCTCCAACCACCAAGCTGGAGAACGTCATGGCCACTGCGCTCAGGAAACTTCCAGCACCCAGCTGCAGAATCTGCTGCACCGAAACGCGGAAGCCATAGAGGATGATGCCCAGGCGTAGCAAGCGCGCTTTGGCAAAGGCCACGCCAGGTTTGATCCGACTTCGGAGATTCTCACCTTTCAAGAAGGTGTTTCCAACCACCAATCCCGTTAAGGTGGCATAGAGCAAGGGACTCAAGACACCACCTGCCAGCTTCAAAGATGCAAGTTGCTTGGAAACCAACACCAAGAAAGCCACAAAGGTCAAGCCAGGCAATCGTGTGCCCACAAACTCCCCGGGCGCTTCCATAATGGAGGTACCTCCAGCTGCTACCTGGGTGAAATGCCTTTGTGGGGCCAGTTGGCTCGCAGTTGAAGGAGCACAAAACACCAAGGAATGGACTGCATGGCACGCGATCAGCAAAAGGCCCGCTGCCAGCAGAGGATGTTTCACCATGATGACTATGGACCACAATTTGTCCAAAGAATCTGTACCTTTGAGCACTTGCGACAACAGGACAATGGCACTCTCAGGTCATTTGGGCATGTCTGAAAACTTAGAACCCAAACCCAATCTTTTCCAGTTTGTGATTGGGGTCCAAAGGTCCCATTTCCCGTGTTTGTCGAGCACATCCCATCCCCGTCTCCATCATCTTCCGCTTGGACAGTTCCCCCAGTTCCCCCTGTTGAATCCACTTGATTGGTGGTTTAGTCATGTTTAGTCCCCCATTGTCTTGGTTCAATCGGCTCAATCCCTAAAAGTGGATGGTCAAATCCTGAAAATTGCGAAGTTCCCTTGTCCGCTGGTCACGGTGTTGCCATGGCCATTTTGTTGATGAACTCCCATGCTTTTGGCGAGATCCCAATCATTGTTGTTTTTTATCTTTTTCTGCTGGTTTTCCAAATCACTAATAATGTTTTCTTGGTTTTAAATGAATCAAATCATGTTAATCCCCCCCAAAAAATTAGGGGGTTGGGTCCATTCTCAACGTCCTTCCCCGCAGCTTGTTTTGGGACTGGCCTCAGCCATTTCTTCCACTGCAACTTCGACCGTCGTCATCATCACCTGGGCAAGGGCTCAGAAAAATCAAACATTGGATTCACATGCCCATAGGATCCATGTATGCTATATATGGTAACATTTACCATCAATATACCCCCAATGTTAGCATATATACCATACATGGATCCTATGGGATGTGGAAATTAAAATGGTTCGAAAAATGATGAAAAATCGCAGAGTGAATTTCAAACTGCCCTTCTTAAACTGGTCGTGAGACTCCCATGAACAATCGTCATGTCATCCATCAGAGTCCATGTCACCTGCTATCACCTGTCAGTGCTGCGACGTGATCTTAGCGCCAGACTTGATGTGGCAAGATGGTCTTGATAAAGGTCGTACCTGCGTTTCCGGAACTTGCCATCACGGGTCAAGATTGGATACCTCATGATACTCCAAAAAAAAGTTTTAAAAGGGGGATTGTGAAGACTACATCTTTACAATTCATAATGATTCTATAGTGTCTATAGATATACAATAAATATATATATATATAAATATCAATGAATTGGATCCATTCATACAGATTCATAGAGTATGCCATACCCATCACCCACAAATCATCCAGAAGCTGAACCACCATAACTGGCTCACCCGACACCTGTCACGGGCGCACCGTTGATGGATTCCAGAGTGACATAGCCTTCCTTCCCGTCCTTCTCCCTTACCTTCACCCGCAGCAGCCCTGAAGCCTCGTCCTGGCACCGTTCCAGGTGGGATTTACTGAGATTTAATGGGGGTTACTGAGATTTAATGATGGGAACATGTTGAAACCACCAGACTTGCTGTTTGAAACATCTTGAAACATCTTGAAACCACCAGACTTGGGATGCTATTTTTATGGTGAGTCAGTCCGAAGCTCAAAATGGTAACCGGTAACGGCCGTTGAATTTATGGATCATCGCCTCACGGGGGTCCCACCTTTTGGGCTTCGCTGCCCAAGGCTTCCAAGATTTCGTGCACTGCCAACTTCTTGATGGTCTTGCTGCCCTTCACGGCCTAAAAAAAAAATATTGCTGAAAAATTGAAAAACCCTGGGCTTCTTTAACAATCATGATAATACTGAGATTTAATACTGATACATACTGATAGGGCTGCGAGGCAGTTCTTTAAAACAGATAGGACAGCAACAACGTTTGTTTGGGGCACTCAGGATGACTCGGGCTGGGGTTCAGGTTGGGCTGCTCAAGAAAGCCAAACATCAGCCAGTATGAGAGTATCATTATATCTATGTAATCTATGTCACTGACATTGAAACATGACATGGGTGATCTATTATATGTGTGTGATGTCCCATCTGAATCCTGCATCAAGTTACTTGGCAGACCCAGGTCATCAACCTGGTAGGATATATCATTGATATATGATCCCCAGGCCTGCGGAGCCAAACCAAACTCAATTTTCGTGGTCTGGCTGACCATTGATTTACCTTGACTAGTTAGTGATGTTTGGATGATTCCTCCTAGAAACTATCATCTATGCTCTATCCGGATTTTATTACAATTTTACCACAATTTTCCCGCAATTAAAAAAATCTCACCATATTTTTGATGGTAAACCGTGGAAAATCCTGATAGTGACGTGATGAAATCTTCGGGCTCCAGGCAGGTTGATCTGTCATGGTCACCAAGTTCACGCACACATACCTCAGCCACAGCCAAAAAAGCAGCGGAACACGCAAGCAGTTCTTTTAACTGACTGAGACATGGCAATTACAGTAAATGCAGATAGTATCAAATAGTTATACTATTGGGTATCACATCATATCACATCTATTGAGGTGGAACGGCAAAAATTTCTACAACCGATCAGCAAAGAATGCGTTCTTTTTTGTATTTCTTTGTCATCTCCGCGATAAATTCTGGCCCTTCACGAGCAAGTGTTGAGCCTTGCGATTACCCCTTCCGTAGTCCAAGTCCGGCATGTTGGGTTTGTCTAAAAATAGACACACCCCATTCCATCCACGCATTGCCTTCATCATTTTCTCATGAAATGTGCCAGAAATTGGGATGTTCCCCTGGGTTTTTCTACCATAAGTTACGGGTTTTTCCTGATTATCCCAGGGAACGGCATGCCATTTTTATTGGGGCTGCCCCATGAACCAAGATGAAGCTCGCCGGTTTTTCGCTCCTGACCTCGCTTTGAAGTAGTCCAAAAACTTCGACTTTGTCACCTGTTGATGCTGGGAAGAGAAAAAATGGCGGTGCTGGGGCATATTCAGAACACTTCAACTTGTGCTTCCATATTGGATGAGTGAATATGATTCTGCTACATTTTCCATGGTACTTTTGATGGTTCTCCTCCAAGAAGTGACATGTTTTTTATCACATTTTGAGGTCCGTCCGGTGAGTCCCACGCCTCGGTCTTGTCACAGACTCGATATGCAGCTTTCAACTCCTGGGGATGGTCACCGATATACCCAGCGAACCATACAGCTTCCAACAGCTTCCAACAATCAATGGATTGGTTTAAGATGTTTTTTTGGAAATATCGAAACATCAGAATAACCATAGATTTTCATAGATTTTCCCATGAAATCTGGGGTTTTCTTGTTGTCCCTTAAACCAATCCATTGAAGCAAGCACAAATCCCAATCGTCACCTCCTCGGAGAACAGACACACCGAAGGATTCGACTCATCAACTTGGAGCTCTTGCCTAGTATCTGAAAAGGGCAAGAAAATCCCAATGTCTCGTGGATTATCCATGGCTTAATTGTGGATTATCACTTATCACTACTATGACGCCTAAAATGAGTCATTTAGATGTTTAGGCTATAGGAATCTTGAGAATGCAAAATGGTTTTGTGATGCTGTGTCTCTACAAGAATTTTATGCACGTTCGATTGATCATATCTTATGGACTTGTAATTACGCTATGATGTTCCACAAACCTGAAGGTCGCCATTCGTGGACTGTTCCTCCCCATAGCAATCATCATTTCTAGCAATTAATGGTGGCAAGGGAGGTTGTCATGTTTTGCCCAAATGGGTATGGAATGGTATGGACCAAAAGTTGTGTCCCCAAAACAAAGGTGTCTGGCACAGGATGTTCATTCCCCTAAAAAAATGGTCCGGCTGGTAGTGAACCATCCCGAAATGTGTGTCACATTCAAATTAAAGTTGGAGCAAACAGGAAAGAAACCATGTTTTTAGGGATGATTCCCTCTCCCAGCAACCATCTGTAAAATTTCTCCAGGAGGTTCCTCTGTCTCGAATGGATGGTGAAGTATCGCCAGCCATGTCAGCTTCAAACAGGACCCGCTAATCATGGCAATGGAACATGTTCAATCATTTTCATACATGTTCCAGATAGTTTTTCAAACAGAAACCCTCCATTTTTAACAGATCTGCCAGTGACAAGTTTGTTTCGGTCTCCCAACAGAGCTCTCATGGCTGACACGAACTTCTCCTCCACCACCTAGCCACTATGGTCACTATGGCACCCCCCCAGGGCTTTACATTTGTTTATCCTGGGTTCAAGGGCAGATCTGCAGGAAACTCATGTTGTTTAATATGATATGCTGATATGCTATTTATGACCATCCAAATATTGCAATTATGGATGGGGGTGCGTTGAAATTCTCGCTGGCTGCGATTGCAAAGATACAAGACATAGATACATACATTACATGACATTACATTACATTGCGCTACAGTACAGTACGTGACATTGAATTGCACAACACGACACTACGCTACACTACATCACGTAACAGTACAAAACCTTACATAGCATTACAAAACTTAAAAGCATACTACATGTTTTCACATTCTTCAAAAATTACTTTCTTCGAGTGATCCCCACCCTGACACGCTATTTTGACATAGTTTCTGACATCCCATCAGGAATTATATATGGCATGAATATTATATATATATACATTCTGACATACTATCTGATATACTTTCTGGCATTCTACCTGTCATCTATTCTGACATACTTCTCTGGATCTTTCTGGCATTCTATCCCCCATCTATTCTGACATTCTATCTGATTCTATCTGGCCTTCTATCTGACATTCTATCTTGCATTCTATCTGGCATTGGATCTGGCATTCTATCTGACAATATTCTGACATTCTGTTTGGCATTCTCTCTGGCATGTGCTCGGCTCCAGCCGCCCCCACAGCATCCCGCACTCGCGATATGGAGTTCGGGTCCGGCCGCTCTCCATTGCATCGTCAGCATCCGGAGCTCGCTATATGGAGATCGTCCAGCTCAGAGAGGAGGCGGAGATGCGGAGTTGCACGATTGTTAAAATCTAGAGACTCTCACCTGGCAGGTGCGGGAAAAAAACATTACATTGCATAACAGTAAAGAAACATTGCATTACCTTTCATTGCATTGCATGACATGGCATTCATCAAAACAGAATGGCATTTATTAAATTCAAACCAAACAATACTGCCAACAACTCTTTGAGGACACCGAGAAATTGAGACAATTGAAGCGATTTTAATTGACCGTCGTTTATCATGGAGGCCATGGCCATAAGTTTCATGGCTGGTCGTGTCATGTCCAGGATCTTTCAGAGAACTATTTGGGGGGCATATCAAGGTCTGACTTTATGGGTTATGTTATGTTACAGTACCTTATGTGATTATGTATTTCATCACAATGCCGTCATTAAGACACAAATCGATACGGGATGAAAATGGACTGAATCAAATGATATCATCACCTGCAAATTGAAAACAAACCCCCACGCGAACAGACATGGAACTCGGAATTGAGTAGGGTGCCCATTAAAAAAAAAAACTTGTTGTGTTTTTCTTGCTAAATGTTGAACAGGGTTAATTAACCCGGAGTAGCATTCTGCCAGGTGAGTCGTTTTGAGTCTTTGCTGTCCCCAGGACCAGGGTAATATAATGTAATATACTGATATATATATATATATGCGTAATATATGTATGTATATATATATATATTATTATATATATATGTAATATATACGTAATATATATATGCAATAATTATATTATGTAATATATATATATATTACATATTATATAATATGTATATATAACTACATCTTCCCCAGTCCAGTGTGCATAAGTTCTGCCTTTTGAGGGAGTTCTGCCTTTTGTGGTTCAAAGGCGACTTTACCCGACCACGGGCGACTTTTGCGATTTCAAGTAAGGCAATCTTTTCACCAAATTCCTTCAGATCCATGGGTGAAACTGGGTTTACTTGTTTAAAAAACATCGCCCAGAACACAGGAATGTAATATATATATATCCTTAGTTTCCTATATCTTTGATTTTGGGCTGTGGCCAATGCAGGGCATTAGGCCCAGGCATGGTCACTTGGATCTCTCCCGCAAGAATGGGAAACTAGTTGGAATGCTTTTGAATCGGGTTTTGCTGGAATTTACAATGTATTTTTCTGGAAGTTTGTAACCTGCAAAAGAAAAAAACGGAGCGGGCGACTTTTCCCAACCAAAAGGCGACTTTACCCGACCAACTTTTTGATGCATTATTTCCCATTGGGGAAGGAACATATTCCAGTTGAAGCACATCCAAGGCCAAATTCAAACATGTTCATGCCAGAGCAAACTCTTGCAATTGCAACAAGCCGGTGTATGACAGCTGAGGATAGGAACCTGAAATAGTTTGGGTAAAACAAAATCTACTGGGATAGTTTAGCTAAACCAAGAAATGAATTGGTAAATGTGTACAAGCAAAGAAACTTGTTGGGATACTTATTGGTTAAACTTAAACCAAGAAATTTGGTGGGATAGTTTGGGTAAACCAAGACATATATGAAAATGTATTAAGGTATGTATTTTGAGGAAATCAAAACATGTCTAGTGGAGTAATTTGGTTAGGGCAGTTTCGGTTTAATGATTTCCTGACAGGCGATTCCGAAGACAAAAGGCGATTCTGAAAAAAAACAAGCAGAATTGTCTGCCTATTTATGTCTTTTAGTAAAAGAGCCAAAACAAAAAACGCATATCTGGATCATGTTTAATGTGGGTAAAACAATGCCATAAACCACCCATTTGGGAATGGTAACCATACCACCTATAAAAATGGCGATGACTGGGGGATAGTGTATTATTGTTTTAACATGGGGGATAGTGTATTATTGTTTTAACATGTTTTTAACCACAATACTCCACTATTTTTTGTGGATATGACCCCACCCCGGCCTTGTCCTCGTGGATCATCTGAGTGACTGCAGTCTCTGGGCTTTGGCCAAGGCGCACGAAGCTCCTCTGTAGCGCCTGGCTACAAGGTGCCCAGTGGGGCCTAGGTAAGCCATGGCTCCAAGAGCTGGGGGATATGATACTTAAAATGATGGTAATTGATGGTAATTGTATGTTTTTTTATACCATAGTTCATGGAGATTATCTGATAGTTCTAAGATGTTCTAAGATGTTCTAAGATGTTCTAAGATATTCTAAGATTCTAAGATGTTGTATATTAAAGTGTAGTGAATGATGTTCTAATTGGGATTCTAAATTTCTAAATATATCGACTTTTGCCGGGGTTTCCCACATATCCCATCCAACTCGTTACACTGGTTAGGTAGATATTCGACCAGTACATGGTAGACCACAGCAGGGTTTTTTGAGGTTTCCCTGCGTGTATGACATATCAATCTTTTCACTAATTACATGTTAAAATTATGTAAAATTGGGGTACAGCAATCTCTGGTAATCTAACCTTGCAATGTTAATTCTCGTAAATAAAAAAATAGATTACGTTGATACTTCAGTTCAGAGAAAACGATACCGTGCAGTGAACTGGTGAGCCATAATTTATTGTCATTGTCATACCATTTTGGGGTTCAAAACAAATCACATTGGATGCATACCCAATTTTAAGGCATTATCATTCAGGGTTATCATTAGCCTTCGAAAATTTGGGTTCGACTTAGATCAAATCAACGCAAGTTAGTTTCATTGAAGTTAGAAAGTGCACAGCAAAAACAACACAAAGCATGCAGAGAAAAAAAAGAAGCATGAACATCCATCACGAAGAACACATTCAACGATTCACACATGCATGCGCAAACAAAAGAACCCACAAGCAAACACAAAATCACATTTATCAGCCTCGATTGTACCGAAGCACTAGAATTGTAGATATAGAATGATATAGATATTATATATATATCATATATTAACCCTGAAAAAGATAGCGATGCAATGCCCTTCGATCTTTTGGGGGTTACCATACTCCTCCCTTCCCTACTCCTCGGTCTGCCTGAACGATGGCCTGCAAGAAGACCATGGCAGACACATCTTGAGGATCATCCTCAGCGGCAATAAATGGCCCATTTCCTGAGGATTTGTGACTTGTATGTGCCATGCATAAAGAAGAGACCCCGTAGATAGGTCAATGGGTTTCTCACTGGGCCAACTATGACGAACTAGATTTTGGATGTGTATATGTATATATATATAATTATACACAAATAGTTGGAGCCCCCCTGAAAATTCTATGGCTAGCCGGCTAGCGCGGCTAGCCCGGACTCCACTCTTTCAAGCATCAGATGGCGCCCACGATAGAATGCAAACATGACCTCTCTATGGACTCACAAACCTACCAGGCATAGGTCCAATGTGCTGAATAAAATCACCACCCAGGCAGCACTACAGTACCATGGGTTACTCCCGCACCAGCGACCCTCTCAACATCCCTGGACGCTGAGAGGACCCTAGGTCATAATTCTCTGAAGAGGGCATGTTGGAGATCATTTTGAACTGTTTTGGTTCCACTTGTGAATCGAAAGCATCCACACTTCCACCTTGCAAGGGGGAGTAGTTGACCGAGTACTCAGATGTGTTTATAAACCAACTTATATCCAAGGGGTGGCCACATTTCAAGACTTTATGCGGCCACTGAAGATTCCTTTTGATTGGCAGATTATCTCATTTACTAGAAAATAAACAGATGCATAGATGGCACGCGGCATAGATGGAACAGGTGGTACCTGCAAAGTCAGTGGTCCTTTTACACCTATGTCTGCCTCTGTCTATTTTCTGCTCCGAGAATGATAGGACGCTTGTGGGAGATCGCATAGAAACATATAGAAACATGGAATTTCATGGTGCCAAAATGTGCCAAATCCCAATATTCCCAATCAGATCCGAAGTGGTCGAGTCCATTGTAGATATTGTAGTGGCTTGGGGCTTGGGCTATGGCAATTGTAACTGTCTCCTAGTGGTGGCTTCATGGCTTCTCCACTAAGGCGAGCGGCAGAGAGTGGTGCAACGACTTCTTCCGTACCTGGTAACGGCAAGATAAAATGAATGCCGCTTACCCTCTGGTAATTCAACATAGCTATTGAAAATGGTGATTTATAGTGGATTTTCTCATTAAAAAAGGTGATTTTCAATAGCTATGTTAAATTACGAGAGGGTACCATGAAACAGTGATCGAAGATTGTGGTACAAAAGATGAAATGCTACCAAATAAGCTCACATTGATCAAAGATACGGGATGGGATTCAATGACTTTGCAAATCCACAAGCTGGATGTTGTTGTTGCTGTTGCTGTTGTTGTTGTTGTTGTTGTTGTTGAAATCACTTCAACCCCCCATCCCGCAAATTGGCTTCCAGGATGAGTTTTGCAAGAAGGCTCGTCACCCCATATGGACCAAGGGGGCCCGCAGTGCCACACCATGACACCGACTGGTCAACAAGGTTTCCCATTTGTACTGGATTCTAGCAATCCCCGTTCAATCTGGGTAGTATATGAGGCTGTCTCAAAACTTGGAGCCATTCCACCCCACGGTTTAAAGCCTCATTTTCCCAATGGCACGGTTGATCGCCCTTAAAATGGCCACCATATCCTCACTTTGAAACAAACCCACCAGGATTACCCATGGATTAGCAATAACTTATAACTTTATAATCATAGATATTCCCTAGATTTGTGGCTTTTCCATGGTGGGTTCTGCCCCATCACGCCAGCTGGTATACTTCAATAACCGTACCCCGAGATCCCATAGTGTCCATCAAATGGCCAATCACATGGGCTACAAACCCATCACATTTCGCTCATGTTGCCCTAAGGCCCATACGTTCCAGCTTCTTCTCAAGAACATCGACTAGCTCAAAGGACTCCTCGCAAGTGCAGCGATCTGTAAGGCGAGAGTTGGGATCCCAGTTGGTGGCAGCTAGGAGAAGTTTCAAAATTTCAAACATAAGTCATTGTGTTGATGGCTTCAAAATCTCCAATCATTTTTTTGGTTGCTCCTTCCGTGTTTTTTTTCAGCTTTGCTTCAATGTCAGATGTTTGTCCCCAACTTGGAGATGCCTGGTGTGGACAACCAACTACTCCACACTCAAAGACTTTCCAGATCCCAGCCGCCCACCGGCTGAGTTTCTCAGAAAATATGGTATATATGGTACCCAGAATCTCATGGTTCATCATAATACGCTTCATCAAAATGGTGATTGAAATGACATGACATGACTATTTTATTGGTGTATCCTCTCCCCACCAGATTTGGTGGGTCAAAACCCCAGGTTCCGAATTGGAATTGAAATAAATGGATGTATCAAACCCATTTTCAGGCAAACCCATTGTGAAAAGGCCATCAAAATTGTTGATCATAATATGTTCCATCAGAATATGTTCCAACATGTTGTTTCATAGTAATATCCCTTGAGATGGGGACATGGTCGATCATAATTGTCACAATCGTTTCCATGAAATATTATAGCAAGCCCGAAAAAGGAGCGAGCAGTGAAAAATCTACTGAAATAGTGTAAATAGTAGTATATAACATGTTCGCTGCAACCCCTACGTTGCTCCGCGTCGGAATCAGAAGTGGCCGAAGTATATAATAGTACATAGCACATATATCATATATTACATCACAGATGTAAAGTCAGAGGGGGTGCCAATTTTTGATCCCTTAAGAAGATAAGTTGATGTTATGATCCCTGTCAACGTAGTAGTCAGAGGGGGTGGTGGATTTTGATCCCTCAACAAGCTAAGTTCATGTTCTTATTATCATCAACATAAAAGTCAGAGGGGGTGGCAAATTTGGATCCCATTATGAAGATAAGTTGATGTTATGATCCCTGTCAACGTAGTAGTCAGAGGGGGTGGCGGATTTTGATCCCTCAACAAGATAAGTTCATGTTCTTATTATCATCAACATATAAGTCAGAGGGGGTGGCAAATTTTGATCCCTTTATGAAGATAAGTTGAGGATATGGATTGGATCCTTTGGATCATTCCCCCATTCCCTATCAAGCACCAGAAAGGTGATGATGATGATGATGATGATGATGATGATGATGATTCTCTTGAAGTGTGGAGCAACGTCCGGGTTGGAGGGAACATGTTCTATCTTTTTTGGGTGGGACTATTAGTTACCCTCCAATAAACTAACATAGCTGTGGAAAATGATTCCTTTATAGATCACTTACCAAATAAATTTGGAGATTAAAATAGCTATGTTCCTTTACCATAGGTATTACCCATATATCCACCATTAATCATCCATCAATACACCAGATATTACTATGATATCCCATTAATATGCCATCTTTCATTACTATACCATATACTACCTAAATGTATATATATATAATAGTAAATAATATATATTAATACATATATATATATACATGTTCTTTTATGAAGTCCGTCTCCTGGATGAGTTTCTGCGTGAGGCCCTTGACTTCCAAGTCTTCCAACTGCTTGTGCCACTTCTCCAGCTCCACCTTTTTGAAGGACACCACTAGATATCAGATAGTCCTGTACATGTATACTGTTATGTGTATATATATACACACACACTTGGAGATCTAATCAAGTATCTATTATTGAGTTCTATGCATGCATATATTTCATATGAATTATGTATAATTATGTACAATGTAGATTTATGTACACAAATAGTTGTGTATATAGAGATAGAATGAGGTGTATAATATATATATATAATTACAGTATATAATATATACTCTATATAAATATATGTAATAATATAATGTATAAATAGAAAAAACAAAGAGAAAACATAGAGTTACCAGGAATTACCATGAGTTACCCTCCTTCCGACCAGTGACTAGGCCCTACTAGCCCTACGGGGGTTGGAAGATGTTGGAAGTCTACGTTCCTTTTTGGGATGGACGCGACCAGCTCCGGCGTAGTTTACTTCGGCTCTGGCAGGGTGGCCCATGGTGACCCACCTTCATGTCTTCCACTTCTTTCAGGATGCTTTTCTCAGAAGCATGGTCCGAACTGGGCCGAGGACGGAGTGTTTGGTGGGACGACATGCAGAAGATGGAGTTTTCACCCAAACTACATGGTGGGAATAATGTCATCCAAATAGTTTTTTTTTAATCAAACTACATTGTGTGGGTAAACATGTCTCTTAAAATGATTGACTTCGCGTTCTTGAAAACAGCCTGCGAAATCACGCGAATACGACAGCAGCTGTCACATTTTTCCCCCGTTCCCCTCATTTCACTCGCTTCTCGAGTGAAGTCCCCCCCCCCGCACTTGCCCTGGGCAAGGCAAAGCTTCGACGATCATCTTTCCTGCGGAGCTGACATCGGCTAAGCCGCTGAAGGTCACTGCAAGCGCTAATCCAAAGTTGTTTCACAAATAGTTAACAGATGTTAACCGGTACGCTACAAGCGCTAGTATGGAACCAAATTTAACAACCATATACAGTACCACGTTTGGTACTTGAAAAGTAGAGACAAAGCCTTAAAGCCTACGATTTCAACCTTAGCCTGACTCATCGCTGGAAGATCTGCCATGTACCTACGATGTTCCCAGCTCCATGAAATGGTCCATCGGGATCCCATCGGGATCCCATGGGAACCCCGGGGCCTCATTTGATCAAGGCTGCCAGCAAAGCCTGGACGAATTTCTTGTCCGCCTGTGGTGTGGTGGTGAAGCTCAACTTTTTCGAGGCGCGCCAGGCGTCTGGGAAGGTCATATTCAGGTGGTCGCACATGATCGCCTCAGGACATACAGTAGGATGGATGTGGTGAACGTACAGGTGTCATTGTCATCATTGTCGTATTAAAGAATTGGGTTCCCGCGAAGATCCACAAAGACTGCCGTCTCAACAATCTTCAAGATAGTTGAATGAACATGAACTCAAAGAATGTGTTGTGGAAGCGTTGGAAACTGTTACTATAGGCCCCATCCCCATTGTTGCATCTCCATATCAAGAGCCAGTGACGTATCTACGCGCATGCATTGGCGGCCTATCGATCAGCCTTGCTTCTTTCACCCCAACGATCAACTGCAGCTGCGCGCTGCGGCCAGTCAACAACATCTCTTGAACTGGTCGCAGTTGTCCCTCCTGCAAGAATAGCGCAAGCATAGGTGCAGTCTTGAGCCCTGCATCTCACAACCTAGATGCATCCTGAAGATATCAAGATTGTTGGCACTGGACGAATCAAGGTAGTGGGAATAGATATGATAGATGTCTGAAAATAGGGTAATTACCCTAAAATCCAATGGCTTAAAGTTTTAAATCAGTTTTCCTATTAAAATGGCCATAATGGCCATATGATGATGGATTTATACCCATGTAGCATCCGTATGATCCCACAAGATGCAGTACTCCGCCCCGGAGTTCACAGCAGCCTGTGGAGTTTCATCTTCATCATCGCACCAAAGGTAATCCGCGAGGAGACCAGCGAAATCTGGCACTGCCTCCAGCGGATATGCTTCTTTCACACACGGAAAAAACATGAAACAACGAATTTAAATGTTAAATGATGCAGTTAAGCTCACTGGTACTCCAAAAAACTTAGCTTGACATGTTTTGACTTAAACTGTGCCACTCTCACTGAACTTTGATAACACAAGTTGAGTACCCCAGTTGCACCATGTTGCACCACCATCCAGCAGCTACGGGCCTGTTGCACATCCAACAAGCACACATGGCCATCGCAAAGTGCTTCGCTCCGTCGGGACAGTTTTTGCGGTGTCTCGAACTGGTCCTGCAGTTCGTAGCTGAGCATGAAACCGGGAAAGTCCCCGGCTCATGGGTTATGATAATCATTGATCCAAAATAATCCATATAATTGATAATGATAATCATTGATAATCAATCCATATAATTGATCCAAAATATTTTTTTTTGGATAATCCATATAATTGATCCATAAAAAAATGTGGAAAGGAAAGAACCTAAGACCCCTGTCGAAGCAACCGGAAGATGTACCCCACGCCCCTCTCATCTGGTCCTCAGACTTCACCGTTGCCTTGCGCTTGGCTGCCATTGCACAGGTCCTGGCCCCTGCTTCAGCTGCTGGGCTTCCCGGGGTGTTCTCAATTCGATTGGACATGTCGAACTGAAGTCCCCAGTAGCTTGAAGAATCAGATGTGAGTCATTGGCCAATCCAAACCTGATGTATCTGATGTGTATTTCATGGTCCATTGATGTCCATTGAACATATTCTTGGTGGAATGATGTGGAATGTGTCACATGATGAGCCACGCGTCATGTCATTTTCAGCGATCTAATCCCTGGATCCGAACTTTTCAAAGCTACGGGAGAAGCGGCGCGCTCTTAGCGGCGTGGCTGAGTAAGTTGCAGGACATGGAGACGAAGGTAAGGTCAAGGCATCCTATGTTTAACCTCCAAAGCCTACATCCAAGGTTTCTGTCTAAGATCAATGATCTGATCAAACAACATGTATAACATTGTATTACATATCTAGGTTGACCGACTGTAAGTTCAAGCGGCCTGATGTTCAATCGGTTTGCTTCAACCTCCAGCAGAACTGGGTGCTACCGACTCTCTGTACCGAGCAGATAAACGGCTCATCGCCAGCCTCGTGACGTGCAAAAAATGGAAGGATGATGTGGCGTTTCAACTAACCAATGATATGGGGATGATATGGGATACCTGATGGGATTCTACTGGGATTATAACATATTATAACAGCATTGTAGGGGGATGATAGTGGGACTACAATAGGATTATGCTAGGATCATAATAGGATTATAATCGGATACTAGTGGACAATTAGAGAGGTCAGCAACAAACATAGGGGGAAGACCAGCACTAAATTGGAAAGTTCTCAGGCCATGAGCCAAGTGCTTGGTGTTGAGATTACCACAGAAAAGTCAGGATCTGAGACCATCCTTGGAACCACCAAAATTCAGGCTCTGGAATCGACCAAAGTAGGAGAATGCCACTACCTGTGGAAGATGATTTTCCTTGTGTTCACATGGATGATTTCATACTGAATGTCCGCTTCCAATGACGTAACCACTTGTTTTGCAGCAGTTTCAATGGATTGGTTTAAGAGTTTAAGCAAACCATTTTCTGTTCCATGTTTTCCATGTTTTTTTCCATGTTGTTTCCCATAAAATATGGATAAATATGGGGTAACCACCCTGCCATTTTTCCCTTCCAATCCGACACAGCGCTTCGCCTGTCCAAGTCAGTGAGAGCACGGCCAAGACTTCGGAGATCCGAGCCTGAAAGGGGCTCGAATGTGTACCAGGCAATGAACATCTAAGAAAGACATATTTAGAATATAAATTAAAATTACAGAATCATGTAGACATTAGATATTTAGAATTATTTAGATATATATATATATATACATGTGTATATATATAGGACGTATATATTGAATAAGATTAGGTCATCTTCTTAAGATTTGCATTTGAAGATAATCAAATAGATCTAATAGATCCATAGGGTTCGTCCATATATTTTTTTACTTTATTTTTTTACTTGCTGGCTGGACAAGGAGCATCGCCACTCGAAGAAAAATACATCTACAAAGGGAACAAATCCAGCACGCCACGTTTGATTCCCAGAGGGTACAATTTCACATCCGGGCCATGAACCGTCAGAAACCATCAGAAAATTGATGTAATTCAAGGGATTCACAGTTTGGTCTCTCACGAAAATGGGATGCACCCATGTCCGAGTCCCAAGGTACCGTCCCCGGCTGCCCAAGTGTCGAAAATCTTGGTGTTTTTGCTACCATCCTAAATCCTAAATGAAAAGAATTGGTAGAATGGGTATGAAGGGGTACGGTTTGACTGGAATCATATCATGTCTAATCCTTTCCGCCTCATAGCACATGCCCCCAGTCAAAACCGTGTCGTTTTATTGGATCTAATTATTCATTTTCCCTGCGGGTAGTCGAATACTGTTGTAAATTCCAAGATAAACATCCAATTTTGGGTGGCTTGTACCACCCAGTTGCCACGTTGGCGGATGGGACTCGCCTGCTTTGCTGCTTTCCGGCCCCGCTTCCAGCCCCGCAGCTTTCCCGCGGTAGGCCTGATGGCTTCATGGCCACCAAATTCTGGGGACAGATGTATCTGAACAAAGGGGAGTTAAGGATGGGAATCGTTAGAATGTTGGAGCGTTGACACTGTCATGTATATTTGCACTATCATGGAGTGGAGACATGAACAATGCTGAACTCTTTTTTTCCTCATTCCACAAAACGATCTCAAGAATCATATCAACAAGGCTGACATGTTCCACTTTCACGTTTCCCAAACGGGATATTCCTACCAAAATGACCGTCGCAGAGTTTTCAATCCTGCCCCATTGCTCAAGAAGTTCCACCCAAATCTCCGGGATCAGCATCAGCTTGGATGACCCCAAAGATCATACTATACCCGCCTCAAACATCTTTTGAACTTCCTGTAACTTGCCGGAGAGTTCGCGTTTGATCACCTGGATGCAGTGATAAAATTCATTAAAATTCTGGATCAGCGGTAGCCAGGTAGCCCACATGAAAAATCATTTCCAGCAACATCATCCTTTCGGCTCTTCATTGCTCTACAAATATGTGCAATATTACTGTATGCGTTTATGAGAATGACTGGCTGTGGATCATGACCCTGCCTAACATCCAAATAGTTGGTGAATGAATATTCGGAATAATCAAGAATCATCTCCCAGAATATGGTAATGAAGGTTATGACATGTTATGACCTATGCCCATCTTCACTGTCATGATCACTTTCATCAGTGGCTGTGTCTGCCATTGCATATCCTCCGGCAACCAAACCTCACGGTGGAAACTTCATGGCTTCTACCCATCCATGATATCTATGGGTGATTTTGCCATTAAACACATGGTATATCTCATGGTCAGGTTTAAGTACCGAATGTTTCTACTGAAATTGCTCAAAAAAAACCTTGCTTTTCCATGTTCCTGAAACATATCCTTAAAAATCCTTAAATCTTCCTACATCAACGCAGCTTAATTTCCAGGTGCTGCTGACAAATCCTGCAAAATCTAACCGGATCCGACCTCATGTTGCCGATCCGACACCACCTTTTTGCTCTCCAAGAGCTGCTGGGTCGAATCGTCCAAGCCTCACCAGTCGCCGGTGAAATGTTGATATTTTTACACCTGCAGATGCTATACATGGATTCTGGGTAAATTAGAATAATTCACTAACCTGAATTAAGGCCATTTGGGGATGATTTCCCTTATTAACCATGATTCCAGTGAGGTCGTAGTGAGGTCGTTATAATTTACCCAGATGGATATACAAAATTACAAATACATGAAATCTTAAATTTCTAGCTTGATTTCAGATTTATATACACGTATTGCAAATACATAGACATTACAGTATATTATTATATGTAAGTATACACACGTATATGCATATATTTATACATTCAAAAAACCTTCACCAGGCCCCAATCTCCGTATTTCACCAGGATCCACACGTTTCTGGAGCTGTTCCAGCTCTTCCTGCTCCGACGTTGACAGTTCTTGACGTTTCAAAAAGATGCGTTTCCTCCAGCGGCACAGCGGTGCTGAGAATCGGGGCACAGATGGCAATCACAAATGGAGGTATACTGTATGCATTGGATGGTGTTCAAATTTTGAAATGGGTTTATATAGTGGGATTTAAGCTGTTTTAGTGGGATTTAACTGAGTTCAATGAGGTTCCAATGGGTTCATGGGGTTTAATGGTTTATAAACGGCAAAAAAACGAAAATGTGGGGTAATCTAGCCAGTACAGGGGGTATAAAGTATATATCATGGAAATAAATTGAAGAAACCATAGGACAAGAACTAAGACCTAGGATAATGATGGATAATGTAGCCCTTGATGTGGCTTTGTGGGGGTGTGGATACCAACCAATAGGGAGATCGGATTTGCTATGACCATCAATCCCAGGAAAGCGCTCCCCATGGGATGTGAATGGCGACGATTCTCCATGACGCTGCTATTCGCAGGCCGGAAGGATGCCATCTCTCCGAAGCTTTGCAGCCACAGAACTTCTATGAACACTTCCAGATCTGCGCCATCTAAGGGCCATCTACATATAATACATGCTATAAATGGCACATCAAAACATCAATGCCAAACTAGTCCTAGGTCCTAGACCCAAAAAATGCTTTGCCATCACCACGCAACGCCACTACGCCCTTTGGTCCCGTACACTGCCAGAACAGACTTGCTGTTGTTGATGATGCTGTTGGCCTCCTGCAATCAGTTCAGTAACATCCCTGTGATCCGTGTTCAAGCCTTCACCTGAAGGGTGATACATGTACTACTAGTAGTTACTAGTACATAATGATAGCTTGTATGAAACTGCTTAGAACATCAATTTCTCCAAAATGTGCGAAGCTACAGTTAGAACATCTGTTGATGTTGGAAGCGCACACTTATATAGAACATCCGAAAATTCAACACTTAGAACATCCATTCATTGATTTTTGGAAACCTGCACTTATAGACATACAATGTCATACATATGCTTACTGATTTACACACATATAATGTATGCCTTTGTGAACGCCACACTTAGAACAGTCTCTACGCTCACCGCTGCCGAAAGGAGAGTGCCTTTTCTTCATGGAACGCGATCTTTGTATATCCCATCCAAGTCTTCGCTACATGGGAAGGTCTTTCATAGTTTGAACTGTGCAGTGGAACTGTTAAATGGTGACCGGTCAACATAGCACCAATGCCATATATACATACATACATACATACATACATACATACATACATACATACATACATACAGACAGACAGACAGACAGACATACATACATACATACACACATACACACATACATACATACATACATACATACATACATACATACATACATACATAGATACATACATACATACATTACATATACATATACATATACATATACATATACATATACATATACATATACATATACATATACATATACATATACATATACATATACATATACATACACATACATACACATACATACACATACATACACATACATACACATACATACATACATCCATACATCCATACATCCATACATCCATACATCCATGCATGCATGCATACATACATACATACATGCATGCATGCATACATACATCCATACATCCATACATCCATACATCCATACATCCATACATCCATACATCCATGCATGCATGCATACATGCATACATGCATGCATACATGCATGCATACATACATACATACTCCAAAAAACGCAACCACAATGATGCGGAAATACCTTGATATATCTATATTCAAGTGCCCAAGTTTTCTGATGTGTCAGGGAGCTGTGATGTTATATACAAGCATATACCAGCTAAACAAAGTTAAATTCATCGATTTGGAAAAGAAACGGAATCGGGTGTTCAGAGATATTAAACTATCATTTGGGATGTTCTTAGCGTAGACTGTACACCAACGCGCGGGCATCCTCGCACCTTGAACTAAAGTTTCACAGCCAAATGGAATCTACGCTTAAATTGTCAAGAATCGTGGAACTAGATCTGTCAGAACATCTTTTAGGATGTTCTAAGTCTAGACTGTACCATCTACCTGTGGGCATCAAAAAATATAGAGAAATAATGGAAAACATAGAAAAGGTTGTGATCGAAATGGAGTCTATGCATATGTTTTCAATAGTGGAACCACAATCGCGTGCTAGATCTTTCAACACATAATTTGGGATGTTCTAACTGTACAAAGTCCCACCCACCTGTGGGCATTCCAGAAAAAGGGAAATATCAAGTTTTTTCAGGCCAAATGGAATCAATGCAGAATCCGCTAAGAGAAGTATTGAATGGCTCGTGTATATATTTCAAGACATAATTTGGGATGTTCTAACTGCAAACTGTGCCGCCTACCCGGGGCATTCTGGAAACTAAGAATACAACATGTGTTTCGGCCAAATTGGGAACATGCATAGGTCTTCAAGACAAAGACCTGATTCGCACGTCTAGATCTTTAAACTATGATTTTGGGACGTTCTAAATGTAATCTGTCCAACGATATGATCTCCTACCCAACTTGACTCTATAGTATATATAAACATAGTATATAATGTATCTATAATGTATATAGTACATAATATGTATATAATGTATACAATATGTATAAAGTATATATTAGTATATAATATATATGATATGTAAATAATAATATATATATGATAATATATATATACACTATAATATATATATATATATATACTGTGTATATATAATGTATATATATATATGTTTAAAAACATATGTATATAATATAAAAGATAACTTGAAAAATATGAATATATTATATATTATTGATACAATTGATACATGATATGCATTTTAATCTTTAAAAAACTGTTATATATATATTATATTTATAAACAAACACCAAATACAATATATAAAATATAGATATCATTAGTATATAAATAATATCATAATATATATATATATATACATATATATATATATATTGTAAATTTAAAAAATACTTCGAAAATATACAATATAAAAATATGTTTTTCAAATAAGCCTAAAACACACATGATATATATATATACTATATAAAAATATATAATATGTAAAAGCTATATAAAATATATTCAATATATATATATATATTTGATAATGAACATATATATGTAATATATTTCAATATTTCAAATTTAAGGTATAATATATTAGTAAAATATATATATGATATACTATATATGGTATAATATATACATATGTATATTAATATATATATATGATATAATATATATATATTATATAATATATATATGATACAATATATATATATATGATATAATATATGATAATATATATATATGATAGAATATTAGAGATAATATATATATATATTGTGTATATAGCATATATAATATTTGTATATATATATGTATTATTTCTCAATATTATGTAATATATATTTTCAAATTATTCTGTTATATATTCAAATTTGTCTATGACATTTAAATTAAATATACCATATTATATATTATACATAATATTATATATTGTATATTATATATTATATATTGCGTATTATATATTATATATTATATATTATATATTGTATACAGTATACATTATATCATATACAATATATATTATAATTAAAAATAATATATAATTTAGTAAATATGATATATCATATAGTGTGTGTATTATATTCTAATATATATAGAATATATTTAATTAAATTATTTATATATATTTTATCAAATGATATATATATATACGTATTATATTGAATATTATATATAAGATATATATATATATAATTATCTATATGTGTATGTGTGTGTGCAGGCACCTTGTTGGCAGCCTCGAGACTGGTCATCGTGGCAGATTCCGCTTGAACTCCCTGCAATTTCCGGCAGCAACATGGGCAACTTCTCAAGATGGGTTGAGATTACTTCGGATACTGTTGAAAAATGTTGAAAATAGTCAGTGTACTGATGTGTACTGCATCTTCTGGTACAAAAAATACATGGCAATAGACAAGATTCCTCTTTTTCTCTGGGATGTCTTAAATCTCACAGAGATTTTTACTTGTCATATTAGATTCACAGAGGACGCATCAAACAACAGTCTATGCAGATTCTTATGTCTAAAAGAATTCCAACAGCTCTCGGTCAAAGGAGGCGAGGCACCTCCGCTTCTTTCGTGGCCTTCTGAAAGGCCTGAAAAGTATTGAAGTGTGAATTTGGTGCATCGAGTGAGTGCATTAGTGGACGCGTTACATTCATCAAATAGTGGGTTTCAAATGATTTCAACTCATTTGTGTCCCGCTTTGGCATAACCATCAATGATGACCTGTTTGTGGCACAAAGCGATTCACCCTAGTATTGGGTGCATGAAACTGTCCAAAAGTGCAATACTTTTACGGCATGGTTCGTTCCGATGCGAGTACCCAATAATTTTCCTTTGTCTCCTTGTATTGTTTAAATCTGTTCCTTCACCCATTTCTGTGGTGAAGATCCCCATAATTGTAAGATGTTGGAAGTATATATCCGTATGTTTGGTGTGATTGTTGCTTGGACATATCCGGTTCTTGCCAGTTCAATCTGTCATTTCTGGTGGCTCAAGCCTTCAGTGGAGGTATTGGAAACAATCTGAAGGAAACCCATCTATTGTAGATATAGGGTTTTTGCTGATGATCCAATGAAAGAATTGCTTGGTGATTTGAGCCACCCATCCCAAAAAACATGCTTACAATATCAAGTTGGGAAAGATGGAAAAAAAAAAAAACAGTTGGTGATATAGCCATCTACACCCCCATTGGTACTTCAACCCTCATCTTCTTTTTCTCTTATCAAAATCATCAGGTCATTGATTTTCCGCAGAGAAAATCATCCCAGTTATCCAGTTTTGTGGATTGACCTCCAATCAAACATGGCACGCTGAAAATCCCGTTGTTCGATTTTTTTGTCCCATTTCAATGCCCATAAAAAACTGAGGGATTTCCCAGCCATGTTTGATGACGCTGAAGAAAAAAAACATGTCGTATCACATATTGTTGCAATAAATTCCCATCTATATCCCTTTTATTACCTGAGGAATTCCGTATCAATCATGAATATCCCATATAGTCCCAAAAAAACACCATGTTTGTTGGATAAATAACTGTTTTTGATGGTTAAGTATTGTTAAATCATCATCAAAACACGGCCGCAACACGCTCACGAGACAACCGCCTCTTCTGCTTCGCGAGCACTCTTCACCGCCGCCTGTAAGCCATTGTGGTCAACTGTTGTGAATGGTTGATGGGACCATAGGAATTCAATAGGATATTGATGGTTAATACTAATACTATATTGAGACCACAGGGATTTAATGGGATATGATTCAATGGGATATGAATGATTAATATCCCATGATATCCCATTAATGTTCATAGCGATTCAATGGGATATGAATGCCTTGCGCGGCCGCAAGCGCTTCCAAAAATTCGCTTTTCCTTTGGCTCGATCGGCATCGGGTTTTTAAGGGGTAGCAAAACCAGGAGTTCCTCCGAAACCAGGCTTTCGGTGGCAAAACCCGATTTTTCTGGGCTTTGGGCTTTGTCTCAAAAACCTTATTTTTGTCCCGCAACTCACTTTTTTCAGGATACGGAAGCCATGTGTAGCTATATCATAGGAACTTAATGATGGGATACAAATGAAATCTACCCTCCGGTATCATCAAAAATGGCGGGCCGCTAGGAAATTCCCGAACCAACTGTGCGTATATCAATGGGACAAACTAAATGGGACAATCAGAGAACTAAATGAGGATTTTCCAGCAAGGCATGTTTGATTACCAGAGGATATATAACAAAATCGAAGCAAGAATCCCTTGTGTTCGACCAACCAAAACTATCAAAATTGATGTTTCGGTAGGAACATGTCTGATTTGACGAATCAAAAAATCGAATGAAATCTGAGCATTGGCCCGCAAGAGGCCGGCTGATTCAACCATCAATGTGCGACCGAGAACGACCAGAAGGTTGGTATGTTGACCAACAGGGACAGTGGATTCAGCCACTAATAATAAACACAAAAAAAGCACAGGACAACAACGTTCACGTGGCCACAGCAGGAGTTCTGAGAACACGTGGAAACCACGGTGGTGGCCACAGGTTTTGTAACTAGGAATTATATACTCATGATTACTCATGTATATGCATGTATAATTTATTTATTTTTATATGATGTTATACGGATTTTATATGGATTTATCGTATATGATTACAGATTTATTGGTGTATCTACTGACATCTGCACCACCTTCTGGGGGGATCTTCGCTTCGCTGATAAACCATATACAACCGGAGGGGTTATCTATGTTACATAGACACACATACACATTAGTGGTTGCATTTAGTGATCCCCACTTATAAGTCTTATATGTATAAGTACATGTACATGTATATATATATAGTGTATATTACAGTATATGTATCTGTCTGTGTATATGTGGAGGTTTCCTAAAATATCGGTACCCCCAAATCATCCATTTTAATAGGATTGTCCATTACAAAGCATCCATTTTGGGGATCCCCCTTTTTAAGAACCCCCCTACATATTATGCGGATATTCATGTACCATTAGGGTCGTCTCAAATTTGCAACCCCCTTCCAACCCATGGATCGAAATCTCAGTACTACCGTTTTTGGCTGGACGTGAACTGGGTACACAAAATGCTGAGACAAACCCAAGTGGATTACAACATGTTATAACATGTTATAACCATAAATCTGGCTTGCAATGACTAACCTGAAATCATGGGTGATTTGGGCCTTACCGTCACCTGCCAAGTCTGCCAGTGAGGTCGTCAGGATTCATTGCAATTGATTGTCATGAAATCATTGTGCTCCTTGAAATGGCCATTGTGAAAGCATCCATGCACCCTCTGGTAAACAGCCACATAGCTATGGAAAGATCCACCATTTTTCATGGGAAAATCCACTATTTCTATGGCCATTTTCAATAGCTATGTTGACATAACCAGAGGGTACCTCCCGGTTCCTCTTTTGATATTCCCCGACCTCAGTCTCTGTGACCTTCTGCAGGCAATCGGCCATGGCGTTGCGGATCGCAAGCTTCTGTCCATGCGACCTGACAACATCTACAGTCTGCTCAGCACTATCATGGCTAATCTAAGATACTCTGTACCCTCCAAAATGGTTGGTTTTCTGTAGTTAGAGTGGTTTGTGTTTCCATGTTTTCCATTATGACCCATCCACCCAACATTTTCCAGGACATCTGACCTCATTCCCCATCCTCCCAGAAAATCTCTCCACCTCAGCGACGCGTGTGCGTCCTCGCATTTCTGCAGCACGGATCTCAATCTCTCGTTCAGCTTCCTGGCAGCTTCTCTTCGAGCCTGCCACAACTGGGTCGGGTCGTGGGTCCTACCATGGCAACTGACTGGGATTACAACATCTGACTTTCCACTCGAATTGGCCTTGGAGATCTTGCAGTACTTCAATCGGATAGGATAGTTCAGTGATATAATATAAGTACAAGTATAAGTATAAGTACATAAATGTTTAATATAATATATAAGTCATGTGTTCCATCTTTCTGACAAATCGACACCCCAGCTCACTGGACTTCTGCCAGCTGGGTCGGCCCATTGATCCTCCAGTCGTAGCGACCGTCGTACCTCGTCCCGCGAACTGAGGTGACTATCCAATTCTCCGCTCTGGGACTTCACCTGGCTGGCAAATCCATGCAAATCCCAGTGTCAATGGAGGTTTCTGGTTGGAAAAATATGGTGAAAAACATAGAAAATCCCACTAGAAATGGGAGATTACCGGATTGGATGTATCATCTAATATGGGAAAATCATCTAACCATCGATGAATATCATGATTTATCGATGTATTTCATGAATGGCTCATCTATTGGTGCCACGGCTTTCTCACGCGGCCTTTTTGTACAACGCCATGGCCGTTTCCTCCGCTTGCTGCAGACTCTCCGACGTCACAGCGTCCGGATCGCTGGCGACCTCGCTTTGTGTCGTGCTGGAGGTGCGGGGATTGTTTCAGACTGCGATGGATGCAACATGATGCAACAATACAGGTTGATTCAGGGTTGATTAACCATCTAATTATAATATATATATATATAGTTTTGCTGCGTTTTCCACCGACTTTCCAGGGTTTTCCCACGTTTTCACCATCAATAGACAGACCTCATGGAACCAGCTAGGCTATGGTCAAACCTCTTTCCAGGATTGTTGGCTTCGGTCCGCTCATTCTTGGAATCCGTATTCTCGTAGGAGAAATCAAACCACATCTCCATTACTGTGGCTCGAAACAAAACACCTTTGTGTGGCTTCAATCAAGTTCAATCCCTAGTTTCTGGCCAAAAAAAACATAATATTCTTTTGTGATTTCTTGTGAATGAAGTGAAATCCACATGTTTTCAAACTTGAGTCAAAATTCTTAGTGGCTGAAACAAAAATGGATCAGAAAAAGTCAGCGCAGGTGAATATTGCCATCCCGCTGCCCCGAACATCGCATCGCATGCATCGCCCAGGCGCCGCTTTCGCGACCAGCTCTGCCATCCGTGCCACCTGCTCTTCCGAGCGCGCAATCTCATCGGCCACCTGTTCGGGGCGACCAACGGTTGGATACCGCGGAGGGAGTTCAGACTTCAGACGATTTTTTCGGTTCACCCATGTTCACCCAGAATCCGGAGTTCACCTATTTATAGCAATTTTGAGCAGCAAAGATACCTGGTTGTTGAGAAAAATTGAGAATTTGAGCAACACGAATGCTCAGAATGGGAGGTCGAAGCGGCGGGAGTTTCAGGATTTGATCAACAAGAGGGCAGGGATTAGCAATAAGATCAATAAGGATGAGGATTTATTTCACCAGCAACCATGTGTATTTCACCTTTACCAATGATATACCAATGATCAATAGAATTTGACCCACCAGCTAAGAATGAAGATTTGACCCACACAAAGTTGGGATTTCAGCCCCAAGAAAGTTGCATTTCAAGGGCTTCAGCTGTGCCTTTTCAACGATCTGCAGGGCGTGTAATCGATGGTCCACGCTGGAGCAAAGACCTGGAAACAGGGGCGCAGCCTTGAAAAATCTTGGAAAAAACCAGCATTTCTGTGGAGGAACCTACCCGTCTTTATTGATACTCAATGATACCCATAGACTATAATGGACAAATAGATAATCCATGAAAATCCATACCCATCCATACCCATTAAGTCATGGGTTTTCCATAGCCACTTCCTTGGACCACCCAGCCCTCCGGACAGATCGCAGGGTCAAGGCGCGGTTCTGTTTCACCACTTCGCTGCGCGCAACGTCCACGCGCTGCTGCAGATCAGTCAACTCCTGCCGGGTCAACCCCCAAGAAGATGCCCAAAAGTCTTTCCAGGAGGGTAGTTGCAATACGACGTTCAAGGATTCAGTAGGACTAATCCAGACCACTGACATGTCATAGCAAGACTTAGTTTTGCTACAGGATGGCACTTGTACAATGATGGTTTTTCCCCATCATTTCCAGGTGTCCAACTCTTCGGCATCTTTTTGGGGTACCAATCCCACTGCAAATCTTGGAGCATGGCCGCCTGGTGAGCCCACGAAAGGTCTACCTACATCGCTGGGGGAAAGGGGCTTCTTTGTGGATCCTCAGGGTCGAAATCGAAAGTGGAGTGCACCACCCTGAATCTTCCGACACATTCAAATTTGTTTCCAAGCGTCAACTCTCTGCAAGAATGTGAGTGTTTCACCAAACTGATATTTGAGGCCATGTGGGTATCCGAAAGTCGGCTTGGGTCGTTTCAAATTCGCTATAAGTCGATCTTTTCCTTGACCCTCAAACCTGACCTGCATCTCTCCCGCCTCAGCCAGTATCACCTAAGGCCGAGTTCCACATAATATAACTCCGAGGTACCCAATATATGGATTGACCAACTTGCAACTTTGAATTCCCCTGCTACTTTAAACAAAATATTCACAAACACACAACACCAGTGGCACAACCCTCTACCCTCCTGCAACATTGTCTCATTGTCCTGCACTTCGCATAGCAGCTTTGGATGGCGAAGTTTTCAACTGTTGAGTGTCCACTCAAGTGAACAAATAGTGCAGTGTGATGTGTTGTCAAAAATGTTTGCTCAAAATATCTTCCAGCCTCGAACATACTGCTTGTCATATGTTTCGAGAACATGTTTGTAATTGTTTGTAGGTCTGCCGTTTGTAGGAGTGATAAGGCAGAAAACTCCTCTCAGATCCTTAAACATCCCTGAAACAATATTGCAAACCACCAATCAGCATCTCTCAGCTCTATCCGGGTCCTTGGTTTCGGCTTGACGTGCGGACACAGTCCGTCTGGCGTCTTGAATCGCATAGTTTGCAGCTTCTTCCGCCTGGAACCGCTGCAAAATCCATGGGCCCCAAAACTCCAGTGGTTCCCTAGGTTGTGTGTGTAGATGTATCTAAAGGTCAGAAAAGTGAATCTAGATATCATTATACAATTTTATACATACATATATATATATACACATATATATATATATATATATTACGTATATAATATATATATATATTTACATCATGTGTTATGTATACTGCACCATATTGTATACTGCACCATATTAGCAGCACGTATTGTCCAGTTGTTCGCGTGCCTTGACGGTTTCCTCGGTGGCTTTCTGGATCTGCTCCCGGCTCTGCTTCACCAGTTCTTCGTCCACCAAGCAGCTGGCCACTTCGGCCACCTGAGGGTTTCCATGGGGCTACCCCAATAGCTGGATGGTTTATAGTGGAAATTCCTATTAAAATATATATAGATGATTTGGAAGTAACCTCATGAAAAAGGAAACCTCCTGTATTTATACACACAATGAATAACAATTATTCAATGGCCATTTCAGGAACCTAAATTGGAGGTACCTACCATATATAAGGCCTATCCAAGGCCTATGTAAGGGAATATCCCCACAAAATATGGCCTTATATGGTACAGTACCTCCATTTTAGGATCCTGAAATTCCCATTGAATTATGTAGAGAATATAGAATGTCAACGAATATCATACATATGTATGTTGATACATTATGCACTGTTCTAGAATTACTGGATTGTTGTGATTGATTCAACAAACCTGGGAAAAGAAGCTGCGCCAAGGGGATTCATCATCAATCTCATGGCTACGGCTCAAAATTGTCTAGCCCAAAAATGTTCGCTGGTTGACAAAGAGCATCAATGACCGAACTTTGCAGACCCTTTCACCACAATTCTCCCGCAAAGTAGAAGCATGTTGTTTTGTATACCATATATTATCTATATCTAAAATCAGCCGCAATTAGGGTATAGTCTCAGTCCTAGTTCCACATCCAGGGTAGAAATGGTCGTCCTTGCTATTTCCGCTGAGTTGTCGATTTCCATATTAGACCTCCAGGTCCTTTGTCTGCAGCCCTGTAGACAAGTGTTAGCAGTGAATGTTTGAGCCGTTTATCAAAGAGCTTCAAAGAGTATAAATTATCCATCTATTAGGCTGCTTCGTAGCCATTTCTACTCTAATAGCTTCAAACAGGCTTCTCGCCCCTGAAAACCTCAGTCTGAATCCACCCATCCCCTATGGTTGAAGGGTTCGATCCCCCTGCTTGTTGGTTGAATTCCACCATTCTTGCCGGTTGGGTTACCTGACGTTTGTTGCTTAAATCCTCGAATTGTGCTGTTTAAATCTTAAATCATAGATTTATTCCATAATTCAGTTAAATAAATCTGCTGTTAAATCTTCCATAATTCAGGAATAACCATAGATTTATTCTTGTTTGGAAGCTCCCCCTGACGTTGAGACCTTCTTAGCCAGCTCTTCTGCTTTCGTCACAGCCTGACGACACTCCTGCCAGACTCGTGGCAACTGGAGCCAAGGGGCATGCAGCTTGAGACGAACCAATCAGACATGGGATAAAACAGAATTTAAGAAACAACTGGGATTGAACCTTCAAACACAAGAAGGATTTTCCGGACAGGAATGAAAAGAAAGATGGGAATTAAACCAGCCATTAGAGTCTAGACTCCCCTTATAAAAAAAGGTGGTAAGTTGGAGCCATCGAGGATTAACTATTTTAATTGGAAGACCAAGAGAAAGCAGAGGTGGCTCAAGCATGGTTTGGCCGTTTGGCCCATCTGTTTCAATGCCATGTTCCTCTACAAACCATCTAAGATGCTTCATGGGGCCATGGGGATCAACGTCTCAGGAGATTTGAAAGACAACCTATTTGAAGCACTGAATCACCACTAAGCCTAGGCAACTTCAAGGTGCCAAATCTCAATTTGGCGAGAAAAATTAGATGTAATTTTGTGACAGATTTATGACATGAGCATCGCCCTTGACATCACTGCAAATATGCAGGGCGCACATCAAATGACAAATTCTTGACACTAAGCGTCGTGTGAAGCATTTAGGCTTTAAAAAAGAGCAGCATGCACCTTCCGACTTCCCTTCACAAACTGCGCAAAGGTCCGTGTCCTTTAAGTAGGTTGACTTCTTGCGTTCTGCTGTTTTTACTTTCAGATCGTTGAGCTTGCTCGCCATTTCCTCAGATCAAGTGATGGGTCTGCAACTGGGTTGAGCCAACAAATTGTGCCCGGTGTGGGAATTAAAAGATCCACCAAAGACCCAGTTTGTCTCCCTCTCACCTGAGCAGAAAACAAGAACTTCTGTAATCCCTTTCTACTATTAACATACTTGATATAAGGATTTCAAAGTCATATACATAGATATTCTGTACCTCATTCAATTAAACACTGATTATCACCATCCACATGTATTTTAGAAACTTGGTTAATAATGCTTTGCAATAGTTGTTCTTAATGGTCAGTAACGGGTTTATGACAAATTAACGGAATTACAATGGTGTCTGCCATCAATGAATTTCTATGGTGCACGATAACTCCGAAATTCACCATCAACAGGGCGGCCATCTCCCAGAAATGAAGAGCCAAGGCTCATCCATCCTGGCCTGAAACTCAGCGATCTTCCGAGTGCCTGGAAGGACTTGGAACATGGGTAATCATGGGATGATCAAAGGAAGTTTAGAAGGGAAACATACAGTTACAGTAGATAAACTATAATATATATATATATGTATATAATGGGAGATTTATACATAGACATAGATAAACTATAGTTAATGGATAATCAAAGACAATGGGAATATACATGGACACATGGATATACTATGGGAAATTCATGGGATAGCCTCTGGTAATCTCATGGTGCGCATATGGAAACTCACCATTTTTTCGCACGATGAAAAATCCTCATGTTTATCATTTATTTATATGGGCCATGGCTTCCATAACTATGTTAAATAACCAGAGGGTAATATGGATGAATTAGCTAACACTCTGACCATCTGAAAATGGGGTGTACCCCTAAATGGCGATTTTAATGGCGATGATGATGATCAAACAATGGATTCATGTGCAAAATCGTGTATGCATATGTCATTAATTGTACAGTGTTTTCTTCTATGATGATATTCCTGAAGCATGTGTTTGTATCTACATCTATTGTATATACAAATATGGAGAATATATCTGGGAATGTATATTATATATGATTGTATATGTACAGTATACAGCAATATACAGTATATGTATACAGATTGCAATAGCAGATTTGGGGTGCGTCAGGCACATCATAATATTGCTCGTTCCCCACGCGCAGCTCGCCTTGAGTGCACAACTCTGGCACAAACTTTTTCACCTTCGGGTGACGTGAAAACCGAACCTGTTTTTTGTGGCATGAAAGTCAGCCGATGTCAGTCGCAACATCATTATCATCATTCCAAATAGGACTGCAAAATGCAAACTATTTGAACCCACCAACCAGGTACTCACCCAAGTCCTTCTTGATCAAAGATTGGATGGTGAGTGTTGCGCTTCCATTCATGCCAGATATCCCATGGTTTTGGGATGGGTACACATTAACATAAATTAACTCGAAATACATCTAAATACTGGCTTTGTTTATTAGAACTACTGTTCATTGGCCTTCCGCGAGGTCGTATGGCAGGATTTTGATCATGAATCCAGTCAGTCCATCTAGATTTCTCTGAGAAAGCCGGCTAGCCGATGGTAGCCCGGCTAATCAACTGCTTGATCATCACTGTCCCTATTAAAGTGTCCATTTGAGGTGTATAATTACACCATTTTCAGAGAAAACCCAAATAGCAATAGTGTTAGTTAATTAATCCGTATTATCCCATGAATTCCCATATATCCGATTATGTACAATGTACAGTAATTTCCCGTTGTCTATAACTGTCCCATTAATATCTATGCGTTATAGTTTATCTTCTACTTTTCCTTTGTCCCTATCATTGTAGAAGATATGAATGAGATAGATGATATTATATGGTAATATCTATTATAGTCCCTAAATCAATATTATTGTCCCATGAATCTCCCATTGGATTATCACAATTATCACTGTATGGACTGAACAGATGGCCTCGGTTCCCTTGATCATCAGGTAGATGCGAGCAATAGAGCCCTCAGAGCAGGTTTTTTATCGCCCAACGTGTTGAGATGGGAGGCTACACGGCTACTCAAACATGTCTATGAAACATGTCTATTCGGTATGCCTATCCAGCCAAACATCCGCGAATCTCCCAGAAAACCAGGGAAATATCGGCAACATTGGAGGGAAATCACCAGAAATTTGGGTATGTTCTAGAGCTACATGCTAGAAATCATCGTATACTTGGATGGGTTTTAAAGCCCCGATGCTTCTCAAAGAGCAACAAATGATGTGTTGAGATGTTGTGAGATGAACTCCCTGACCTATCAGATTGGCTTCCACAAATTGAATCATTCAACACCACCAAATCACACAGCCACCAGGGGACCTTTGCATCCCCAAATTTTTGGAACGGACCGTTTGGAGCTCACAACTAGAGAGTGAACTCCCAAATACCCTCTGGTAATTTAACATAGCTATGGAAAATCACCATTTTTAATGGGAAAACTCACTATAAATGGCCATTTTCAATAGCTACGTTAAATTACCAGAGGGTAGCTGGTTTTGGAATTTGGATCCATTCATCTCCATTGTTCCCCCATCGCCAAGCCGCTGCCGTGCTGGCACAGGTGATCTTGCTCTCACACTCCTTCACCGTCGTCAAGCTCTTCTCCAGCGGTAGGTCCTTGGATCTACTGATGGCTGCCTTATAGCAAGCTTTCAAGCCGGGGAAACCCCAAGAATGGAGGCCCAGAAAAAAAAAAAAATCAGAATGAAAAAACTGTAGAGTGTATGTACGTGTCTATATATATATATATACATATATATGTTATATATATATTATATATGTTATATATATATATGTTATATATATATGTTATATATATAACATATATATATAACATATATATATAACATATATGTTATATATATATGTTATATATATGTTATATATATATGATATATATATATATATGTTATATATATATATGTTATATATATGTTATATATATGTTATATATATATATATATGTTATATATATATGTTATATATATATATGTTATATATATATGTTATATATATATGTTATATATATGTTATATATATATATATATATGTTATATATATATGTTATATATATATATGTGTTGTGTAGTCCATTGTAATCCATCAAATTAATCCATGAATCCATGAAAGTTGATATCAGCGTCATGGTCCACATTCCAGCAAACCGGCAGTGCCGCGCCTCCTCTGCACACATCAGGAACGGCGCCTCTGCGTCTCGCGCCTGGGCATGTCATGACCTTTTTAGTTTCTCTGTTAGGAAACTTGGGGATCTTGTGAACCACATTGGAACCATGAGCCATTTCTTTGTCAGGATAGGCTTGCTTTTCCAAAACAGAAAGCCATTCCTGTTTCTGGACATCCTGCAGAAGTATCTCCCTATGTCCTATCATGTTGCTTACGCTGTGCTTGCCCCGTAAATAACATGTAAAAGATAGTTTTTAGTGGCCCATGGGTCTTTTTCGTGTTGTGGGTATGGGTCAAAATCGGCCAGTTGAGAACAGTCTTAGTCTTATGGAGGTGAAATTGCTGCAGAACTTAAGACAGGCTCACGATATACCGGTTGAAAAAGTGATGTGGCCGTACAAGCCTATATCTATAAGATTTGATAAGATCCTGCATGGATTCTAGTCGTTGGAAAAAGATAGATAGATCAAGATGGATCAAGAATGGTCGACGACAGACTAGTTGGGATTTGGTCCCCTTGTTAGCCTGATCACAAGGGCACCTGTTTTTTTACACAATCAGTCTCTCTGTTGGGGCTTAATTTGTTTCTTCTCCAACCATCCATACATCATATACATGGGTGTTTCTTTAAATGTGGACCTCTAAAACTAGAACCATGGCTTGACTACCAAAAAGATCCAATGCCAATACGGTCAATTTGAGAAACTCATTCCGTTGGGTTTCATCAAACTGCCACCAGTTCTTCTGCGCCGTCCTTCCCAAAGGTGTCGTGGAAGGCTTGGAGGCGCTCAGCTCCTTCCTTTTCAATGGCCTTCGCGGGTTGCCCCGGCAATGAAACGACCATTTCAATGGAGAAAAACAAACCCATGTTCCATGTTCCTGGTGCGCCGCTCCTCAAAATTCCCAAAATCATGCAAATATCCATATATATATAATATACATAATTATATGTATAATAGTATATATATTAATAACATTTAATAACAATTTGGGGGTGTCCATAAATGGGGGTAGCCCAAAATAGATTGTTTGTAATGGAAAGAACCAACAAATTCCATTAAAATGGATGTAGGGATACCCCCATTTCAGGAAACCTCCATTTACAGTATAAAAGAGGGATTTGCATTGCCAGGTTTGACTACCAGAGAGCAATCAAAAAAAAATGCAAGGTTCCTGGTTCTTGGCTCCTCAAGACCCTAATGAATTTGGATTCCATCGGTTGCTGTCCTTTGATGTCATTGTAGAGTCACTTATATACTGTATCCCACGCCCGAGTCACAAGGTACTTCCGACCATCTCAACAAAGGGCTCAGTTTACTTACTGTGGAGTAAACCTCAAACAGCCCAAATATCAGAGCCCTAAAATGCTTTGTAGAAAAATGAGTCAAGGTGCATACATGTAAAGAGTTGGAGCAGGCCCCAATCAAACACATCACTTCTTTAGATACCTGAAGCACGTTGCAACGAAGATTTCAACTTACAAGCGCCACCCCGACTTGCGGCACAGGTGCAGAAATGCCCACCTTTTGCCCATCCCAAATACTGTACTAGCCTTCAGGCCTGCAGCCAGCCTAAGCCCGAAGATGCTCTGCCGTCTAAATGAATCTACTAAGAAGTAACTAGCCTAGACCTAAAAACATCGGCAACGGCATCCTTGCACACATTAATTTGGTCAAAGGAGACTCTTTTGTGAGGTCACCATAAACTTCGATGTTCCTGTGACGGGATTGTAACCTGAGATCTGCTGCGAGAAGGCTGTTGCAGATCACTCGCGGATTCTTCCTCTTGCGGGTGCGATCAACATCCAAGAACAATGTCCTTGGTGCATCTTGAACTGCACATGTTCTGGTGGCCACCAGTGAGCAATGGATCCGACATCCTTTCAGTTTGAGTGCTGCTTTGTGGTCTGCTTCGCACCAAAGAGGATCGTCTCCATCGCCGCAGAAGAGCTCATTCACATCAGCGGCCGAGAACAAAAACTGGTTGAAGCTCACGTGGTCATCAATGGTGTCAGATGCAAGGTCCTTGGCAGCTTTCAGGAAGGCCAGCGTCTCTGTGACATTTTGGAACTCCACTTCGCAGCATAAGGACACAAATGGAATCTTCTTGAGGTCTCCCAAACCAAGAAATCTCCAGAGTCCAGAGGTGTTCCAAGCACCTGCTGGATGTCGCCAGGAGCCTTCACTACCAAATGGTCTGCATTCTTCCACTTCGGTCTTCACAGCACGAGAGGCCGCTGCTAGTTCTAGCACTGAGGTATCTGATGAAAAGTCCAGCGCTCGCACCAAGAGTTCTTTACTCAGGTTGAGTAGACATGGCATGGCGCTTAGATGCTTAGGATTAATTAAATGCACGTGGTCAGAAATCACAACATGTTTGTCCTCGATCTACATATCACACGTCCCAAGGCCAATATGTGCAGAAAGCAATGCCACAGAAGGAAAACCTCATGGTTGCATCATGCGTTCTGCTGAAAGGAAATGGTAGGAATGCAGCATGACAATTGAACATGGTGCTGTTTGTTCACCTAATGATTCTGCAAAGTAACATATTTGACTGGGTCTTGGTTTCCACCCGCTGGAACCACCGCCCTGTTGAGCACCAGCAGCACATCAATGTCTGAGTTGACATTGCTCTACGGGGATGCAATTGGTCTATAGTTTTGTGTTATAGTTGTTTTATGTTTTCTTTCTATGTCAAGAGATAGCGGAGTGAAATCATATTCTATTTGGGGGATCCTGTAATATCCTGTAATTAGCCGAAAGATGTAGGCCCTTGGGTTGTTAAATTCGGGGGTCCGTTTTCCAAGTGCAAATTATACCAACTTGTAAAGGTGTATGTATCAGCAAGTTTACTGCCCGGAAGACTGACACGACATCCCGAAAAAGTATAAATTAGTGGGGGTTGGAAGATGTTCACAAAATCATTTAAAATCTATACAAACTGGCAAGTTTTCGTGTCTCCGGGCGACCCTGGAGGCGGCGCGGCAGTTGTTGGAGGCCAAAAACATCCCGCCGGATCGAAAAACGTGCTGATGAAAATAGAGTTTTACAAGAAAATGTGTGTTTTACCACAGCGAGGCAACCATTTGTGTCACTTGAAAAGTGGCAAATTTGGACGTCCAATTAAACACAATTTTCTTCTCTATTTCGATCGGACAAATTCAGGCATCCTTTTTTTCACTCGATCTTTCGCAACATCTCTGCAGTCTTCTCAAGCAGCTTCTTGTACTTATTGATGAAGCGCCATTGCCACATTTTGGCAAATAACATGACGTAGCAGAGATCTCTGCAGCGTAGCAACATGTAACGTAGCAAGGATACCAGAGATGTCTGCAGCGTAGCAACATGTAACGGAGCAAGGATACCAGAGATCTCTGCAGCGTAGCAACATGTAGCGTAGGAAGGATACCAGAGATCTCTGCAGCGTAGCAACATGTAACGTAGCAAGGATTCCAGAGACCTCTGCAGCTTAGCAACATGTAACGTAGCAAGGATACCAGAGATCTCTGCAGCGTAGCAACATGTAACGTAGCAAGGATACCAGAGACCTCTGCAGCTTAGCAACATGTAACGTAGCAAGGATACCAGAGATCTCTGCAGCGTAGCAACATCTACTGTACGCATTAGACAGAACGTTAACACCCCCGCCCCACCCCCACCCCCCCACCCCACCCCAATATAACCCCCGACGCCCCGTTTGCGAAAATGTACGTTTTACGAGCATGGTTTTCGATCCGTAGGCAAAAACATGCAGGCGAACATCCAATGGGGGAAACCATCCTTCCAGCTGCAATGCTTCTGTAAATGAAAACGACTGTATAGCAACCCGCCAAAAGATGCTGAAGGGTTGGAAACTTGGAAATTCTGGTGAAAGAATCATTGAACTACCATCCTGGAAGTATTTTTAGGAATCTTTTTGGAGGTTGCTATTTATATCACTTGAACATCCTTGAACGTTGCTCCCTTTTTTCCCTCCTAAGGGGGCCAGGGGACTGAGCAGCACGTGGTCCACATGTTGATTGTTATTTCCCCCTGTTGGGTCAGATTCGCAGTTTTCTGGCCCGTGCGGGTTTTTCTCGCACAATGTTGCACAGAGACACCTCTGGACCAACCAAATTCTTGCTGCCCCTTGAATCCAAACGACCATGATTTTGGAAGTCGGGGAAGATCTTATGAGTACCAACATCTGACCATCGAACCTACGGCAGGAAACACATGGCTATACTATACCCTCAAATCTGGTCATTTCTGCTATTAAAGTATCATTTTGTGGCAAATAATGTCTTAAGCGTTTCGATGCAGTGGAGAGAGACATATAGACCAGGCACCAGGGATGCCTATATAGTATGGAATGGTCAGAAAACTAATGGAAACTATATATATGTCTTCTCCGTTTTAAGACTTTATATAGTAAGTTGAAACGCACCCACTCAAAAAAACGATTTCAAACCCCTGGGGACTCCTAGGAAAATTGGGTGTAGAGGGCGGTCGCTGCCGAGCCTGCAAGATTGACCGCTCACCACTTTGACGCTTGCTGTCCTGGCTGTCAACTTCCCGCCCCAAAAATGTCATCCACATGAACAAAAGAAAGCAAGGTGGTTCCACTTAGGTTTCTCATGTTTGTCCAAAAACTGTGCATACCCCACTGGTTATATAATCATTACATTCCTTGTCAACTTGCCATTTTGGGATCTCCCCATGTTCAGACAAACCCACCCTTTTTGGAGCCGCAGTGGCCTGAAGGGCTTTCAGTTTCTCCTGAAACTCCTTGATTTTCCTCTCAATCTCTGCAAGCTCCTGATGTTAATGGCGCCCTTGAAGCCGCTCTAGGAAGTTTTTACCGCTGTCTTTCAACACTAAAAATGCTGAAAGCAGTCCACAGCTGACGATTTCACCGTTTTGACCAACATGTTTTGCTAGTTCAGCTATTTGATGCCCACCTTAGCATATCTTAAAATTGCCAACAATGCGCACAAGTAGCAAATAATTAGACAGGTTTTGACTCAGACAATAACGATGCGTGTACCATACCCAACGAGGCAAACTCCGCTTTGCGCCTTGACGACCAAAGGACCACTATGCATCTTTTTCCTTGGACCACAGGCACAACACAACTGCGTCCTGTACATAACTGGAAAATCCAGCAAAACTACTACTCGCAAAACCAAGCATTGCTGCAGGATCTTGCAGGATGCTGTCCACTAGACAACTCCTGGAAGTTGATTTACTGTAAGGCTATGGCGAAACATATTGGATACTTTACCCGGGAAAATTGTTGATTGCTGATGGTTGATACTGAAAATAAACAGGTTGAGAGGTCATCATGTTCCACCTTCTCTACCACTTGGCTCTGCATGTATGCATAGGGTACTCCAGCTGTGCTGGTGCTTCCAGCTCATTTCCAAATAATCATCAGACGTGGACAAACAAAAAAACGAATTAAAACCAACATATCCATCATTCCACATCTATCTCTACACAATTCTACACATATACACCCACAACCAACCCAAAGAAAACCTTCACCGCATTATCACATTTCACCACATATATATAGTATAAGTATATATATATAATTATATGTGTATATATATATAATGTACACATATATAATTATGTATATATAGAATAAAATGTACATATATATATAACATTATAGTTATATTATATTATATTATATATTATATATTATATATTATATATTATATATTATATATTACATATTACATATTATATATTATATATTATATATATATATTATATATTTTATATTATATTATATATATATAATATATAATATATTATATATTATATATTATATATTATATATTATATATTATATATTATATATTATATACTATATATTATATATTATATTGTATATTATATATTTTATATTATATTGTATATTAAATATTATATATTATATATTATATATTATATATTATATATTATACTAGATTAAATATTATATTATTTATTATAATAAATATTATATTATATAATATATTATATATTATATATTATATATTATATATTATATATTATATATTATATATTATATATTATATATTATATACTATATATTATATATTATATTGTATATTATATATTTTATATTATATTGTATATTATATATTATATATTAATTATATTGTATATTATATTATATATTATATTATATATATATATTATATTATAGTATATTATACTATATTATAATATTATATTATATTATATATCATGTTATATCATATCATACTGTATCATATCATATCATATTATATTATATATCATGTTATATTATATAATATTATATTATTTTATATCATATTATAGTATATATTATATATCATATTATACATTATATTATATATTATTCTATATATTATATATTATATATATACTATATATTATATATTATATATATTATATATTTTATATTATATTGTATATTAAATATTATATATTATATATTATATATTATCATATATTATTATATTATATCATATATTATTATATTATATCATATATTAATATATTATATTAAAATATATTATATTATATATTATACTATATATTAAATTATTGTGCATCATATATTATAATATATCATACTATATTATATTATATTATGTTATATTATCTTATACTATATTATATTATATCAAAAGTATATAACATTATATTGTATTAATTATATTATATTATATATATACATTGTATATGTAATATCATTATTTATTATATTATTATTATTATTATCTCGAGATCTACTAAGCCATCACCCCAGCCACAGTTTTTCCACCAGGCCGCTGCGCACAGAGCTGGGTCAGTTCCTTCAACTGCGTCTCCAGCGACTCCAGTGGCAAGTCTCCGCCATCGTTCAGCTGTTGCTCGATGGGCTGCAGCTTGCTGCGAAGCTCCCGCAGCGCCCTACAGCCAGGCCGGGGTTGATGACGAAAAATGGGGAAAATGGGGGAGAAACCTCCATGGGGTTGGTATAATCCTAAGATTATCTAAGTACATTTGGGTGATTTTTGGGGTAAACGTAGGGTTGGGGACATGGATGATCTGGGTGCAAAAAAGGAGATTGAAGATGAAGAATGAACAAAATTACTTGGGGAACCACTTGATGATGATTTTTCATGGGCCATGCAGGCCACGCAGTGAATACCCCAGCCTTAGATACCTCTTTCTATCACTGGGTTTTGATGTGCCAAACTAATCTTTCACCACGGGTTCCAAGCGGCATCTGCGCTTGCGAGCGTTGCTGCAGCTCTCTGCGGGCCGATTTCAGCGGCACCAACTTGGCCTGTACCTCGGAGTTCAATGGGAATAATATGAAAAATCTGAGGATGGACCAACAATATTGGGATATCACTGCCATGATCGGAATATAATCATGGGAATCACTAATCAATCTAAACATAAAATTGGTGATACAACGAGTCATAACTGGGATAGAATTGGAACATAATTGGGTATACATATATATATATATAATTATATATATACAGTATATATATATATTAACCAACAATGTCATCTGTATTTACTATACCCTCCGGAAAAAATCAGATAAACACAGAAAATCCATTATTTCCCTGGGCACTGCTCTATATAAATGGTGGGCATTCCATATCTATGTCAAAGTACTGTAGGGTACAGTAATGGTTAGTGGCGGGTTCAGAGATGTCATTGTAATATTATGCCCACAAACAACCAATAAACCATGGAAGTATATGTAATTCGGATGAAAATAAAATTGGGGTATCATAGGTCGACTTAGTATCCTCAACAGCAAGTTCAATGTAAAACTGAGGCTTCCACCATCTGCAGTTTGTTCATCAGCTTAGTCAGCTCTGTATGGGCAGTGTCCCTGACCTTCTGCGATTCGAAACGCCGGGTGATGTTCTGCTTCCCATTTAGGAACACTCGCGCCTGCAAGGAGGGTCACGACTTAGAACACCAATGGAACAGGCTGGGGAATGGGATGGTAGGGACAGAGAAAGTCTCCAACATAATTTAAAGGGTTGGGGTGGGGAGACAGCTATCGTTCCAAGGTGGTTAGAAAAGGGCGATGTTTACAACCAACTACCCCCGCAGTTACTGTTGTTCTAGTCTAAGTGTCTGACTATGAATGGCATGACCACAGCATACCACAGCTAAATATATATATATATACACCCAGTGCTTTCGAGGGGCCTCTCCCAGGGCTTTCTCGGCCACTCTGACGGCTTCTTCTGTTTCATCCACGACCTTCTGCGCCTCCCAGGGGTGGTCAAGTTCCCATCTTCTTGTAGTTGGAATCCTTGTTGCTAGTGCTTAAATCTCCGCTTTGGGCAACGAAAATTTTAGTTCTTCTATTTTTCGGTGGTGAACATCCAAATTTGGCCGTTCAAATCCAAAATTGCTGGTGCAGATTGATGATGTCCACAAAAAAAAAGCAAAGTCCCCCGCAGGCGCACGTGATCCAAATTCTCCCCAGCCGCTGCAATGGCTTCGTGCGTGGCCACAGCCTGCAGCCCCCGGCCTTTTTGGGATGGTTACCCCACCGTGGTTTCGTCGCGAAGCTGGTCGTTATAGTCTATGCAGCATATAATCTGTATATATATATAATGATATCATATTCTATCTATCTATCTATCTATCTATCTATCTATCTAGTCTAGTCTAGTCTAGTCTAGTCTAATCTAATCTAATCTAATCTAATCTAATCTATCTATCTAATTATCTATCTGTGTATACAAATATGTGATATATCATATGTATATAAATATATACGTATATAATCGTATATACATATACCACTGAATAGGTGGTGCCCCATGGTTGTAATTAAGTTTTCCAAAAACCGCGAATCTGTTGGTTGATTTTTTTGACTGGCTAGATCTCCCCATGTTCGTTTAAGGTTAAATCCCAATGGTTGTTGCGAAACGAATCCGATTTAAGTTAGGTTAAAACTCCCATTTCTCATTTATTAGTATTTATTTGATCCCCCTTTGGAAATGGGAGTTTTAACCCAACAAATAAATGGGGATAATTGGGAACTCCCCTTTGGATATATTATTGTTTCTTCTAAGGTTCCCCATTATCCCCATGTTAATAACAAAATCGCCATGCTTGTTCTGTGTCATCTTGGCAGTCACCTTCTCCATGAACTCTTCAGCGCCCAGGCATCTCTGGGTCACCTCTGGTAGAAGATCCTGCCAAAAAGCATGGTCTGGTGATGTTTGGTGAAACCCGATCTGTCAAGTCTGGTGCGTTGATGGATTTTGTTGGGTCATGTTGGTGCTTGGCCTATTTGCGAGTCGGTCGTTTAGGTGATTCGCTAAATGACACCTTGGAAAATGGTAGTTTGATGGCGATTATTTTCTTTCTGTGGTTGTAAACCGAACTTCTTAGTACTTAAATCCTCAGTCCTGCTTAGTCAAAATCATGTCATCCTGTGTCTGGTGCTTGGAGGGTTGAATTCCAGCAAATTAAATTGTTTGATACTGTTGAATTGGTTCAAACATGTAAAAGAAACACAAACATCTTGATGATATCTGCTGGTCTTCTCCCTATTTTCTCACCACTTAAAGCTGCCCAGTCCTTCCGAAAATTCCAGACCCCCCCTGGATCCTCCAAAGCCTTCGTTTCTCTTAGCTCCGCGTCCGCCAATTTCACTTGCTGCTCCGCCTGTGCTGGGATGTAACTAACATTCACCAAGGCCAATTTGTGAGCATTGAACTACCAAAACTGAGAAAACATGGTCAAACCATGTGACACATTAATATAAAATTTGGGGCTGGCGGGTGACCCGGTGGGTGATCCATAAAACCATCCATAAAACAATAAATGAACAAAAAAAATATTATATTCATTTATATTCTGTTATATTATACTATATTAAATTATTTTATATTATATTATATGATATTATATTATATTTGAAGTTTCCAAGCTGCAACAGCTCGCTTAGCAGCTTTTCCGGCGCAGGCGTAGCAGCATAAATGGCTTTAGGCCTAGTATTTCGAATGAAATGTAAAACGGCAGCGGCACATGGATTCAGGTGCAGGCAAGTGCATCATGCCAATCGTTCCAAGCTATGATTTGGATTCCTCAGTTGATATTTCTTTCTTGGTAGCTTGTGAACGATACACCGTCACCAGGATGCCAGCTAAAGTGCCTAAAAGTGCATGGGGATTTGGCAAAATGCCATATTCTGTACCTTCTTCCAAAACTCTCCAGTCTGACTTCCCGTCTGGATGATCAATTCTGGCATACGTGGTTCTCAAAAGAAATTTCGTTGGATCCACACGGGCTCCTGGAGTTCTGAAAGACTTTGCATGGCGTGCCACATTGATTAGGACACCTTCACGTTGGTGCCATCCAGGGCTTGCACTAAGCTGAGCTAGGTATGGGTAAATAGGTGAGTTTTCACCCAAAGCACTACCTACCAGCAGACTCTCACAGCTTCCGGCAGCGAGCTTCTTCGGCTTCGTCTTCTGCTTCTGCTTGACAAACTCTTGGTTGAAGGTTACGCTCCATCGGCAGCTGCTAAGAATCTTATGCACATGCTCAGTGCTCATGTCTTTCGTCCCGCAATCCACGAAGAGGTTCTCCGTTGATGTCCACTTGAGCATGGTGTTGGGTTTGCTAAGGACTCCACGAATCCAGGCAACTGTGAACGCCAGGGATTTTTGAGATCCGTAGGAAGGTGTGTCTGAAGACCCTTTGTCGTAGACATCACGTGCATCAGTGACGACTGCCAAAGGAATGCAGTCCATGACTTCTTCAGCACGTTTGTGTTCAATTGGAAGGCCTTGCAACATCGCCCACCAGCCACGGCAGAAACATCCAACATCAAATGCTTCTTCCGTTCCCAGCAGCTCTGCTCCGTATGTAGAGCGGCATACTCGAGGAAGTCTGTGGCTTCTTGCGTCCAGCACTGAGAAGCTTCCTTCTCGTCCAGCCAAGAGGTCCTTGTCGGCCAGGAGGACGTAGTAGGCGCTTTGGCTAAACACCTTTTCCAACACAGTTCCATCAGCTCCGCCAGCTTTGGTGACATTCCCCAAACTGGCATCGGTTACCACCATGATTCCAGCTCCCTTCAAATCCATCGGCTTGAAGGTCAGGGCAAAGTCAGGGTCCTGCTTGAAGCGCTTGACAAGCAGATTAGCTTTCATCAGGGTGCTGATCTTCGGCGGTTCACCTTGCAAGGTGCTGAGCTGAAAACCCAAATCAAATCGCAGTTGAGCAACCAGCCATTGTAGTGAACCAAGGATTGCACGAAGTTGACGTCGTTCCATCTCCGTCAAGTCTGAGTCTGGGTTGGCTCGGCGAGGCACAGGAATGTTCACTGTCTTCAGGTTACTGTGGTACTCTTCCATGGTGATGGTGATGTGGCCGTCATCCCATTGGCGGATACGTTTGCCACAATAGGTGATGTCCTTCTCAGAGGTGCTTCCAAACCCCAATTCTCGTCCAAGCTCTTGAAGTTTGGCGACAGCACGGCGGTTTCCGCCCAAAAGCAAATCATCCACATGTGAGATGAGGACGCCATCCAACCTCGTTCCACATGGTGACCACAGAACCCAACAGGCGTAGTCCAGTGTAGTTCTTTGCCATCCCTGCTGAATCAGGGACTTGTTCAACCTCAAATACCAACGTCTCGGCGCATCACTCAAACCAAACACTCCTTTGCGTATCCTGGCAAGTCCAGGAAAAGGCAAGCGAGGTTCATCAAGGGCTCCTCGGATGTTCTCCATGAACAGCTCTCTGGTCCCATCCATGTAGGCATCTCCTTTCATGAAGGCTGACTTGATGTCGGCTGAAAGCAAAGTCCAAGCAAGGTCAGCTCCAACAGCCATTACATTGAAACATGCCGTCAGGGTCAGAAGGAAATGTTGGGCCAGTCTTGAACATGTAGGAGCATCCTTTAAAGTCCAAATGAAAAGATGTCCTTGAAACCAGGAACAACAATGCGCGCTCGTGCACGGAGAGGCAACTTGTTCTGCTCAGTGCGAAGGCCTTCGTGTTTGTCGGTGAACACGTATCTGGGGGTGAGAATCTTCCCCTGCTGGCCTTCTCTCTTCAGTCTCTCACGCACTCGTTGAGATTCTTCAGGAGATAGTTCTTCAACCGCATCATTCTCCTTCCAAACGCTCCAAGCTTGTTCGGCTGCAATCTTGAACTCAGCCTTTTCAGCATCACTCATGGAGCGCCAGTGAAATTCTTTGCGATTGGCTTGAACTGCCATCACGTCATTTTCAACCAGATCATCATGCCCACAAGGCCAAGGAAGTCCAAGCCGTTGGTGAGCATGCCATTCCGTTCTTGAGGGTAAAGGCCATCTGCCATCCCAAGAACCATGATCTTTCACACGCACTTCAGTAGGGTTGAGTCTGTCTTCACAGGCAGCATTGTAAATGTGTTGCAGTGGATGTAGTGAAGGATCGCCCAAACTGGACAAAACATCTTCTCTCGTGGTCTGCAATGCTTCTGCCGCAGGCTCATTTGATGAAGTTGCTGTGATCACTGGAGGTCCATCAGGTTGAGGATCAGGAGGCTCAGAGGATTCAGCCTTCAATCTTTCCAGTGATGTGTCTGCAGCTCGTTTGGTTCCTGCAGGCTCTGCCAAACGTTGACGTTGTGCCTGTTCCATGACGCCCTGCAACTGACTTGCAAAGCTTGAGGCCCGTTTTCGAAGTCCATCGCCGAGTCCACTCGAAAGTCCATCAGTGGTGGCTCGATCAAACGTTGCCTCACTCATTCTTCTGGAAGGCACAGTCGATACTGGTGCAGAGGCAGGCATCAAGGCACCAGCAAGTTCTTGAGGCGCTACCGGAGGCAAGTCATCGCCAACCGGCATTGCTTGTTCTGGAACTGCCGCTGCTGAAGATGAGGGCAAGAAGGCAGGAGTGCCAGGCATTGGCATCACAGCAGCTGGTTGTTGAACAGCAGTTCCATCGCCACCATCGGCCAAAGGAAGTCCACGGGCCGACAAGTCCAAGGTGGCAGCCTCAACAGCTTCTTCTATGGCTTCACGCCAAGAATCTGCAGCTATCTGTTCCATCGTGCTGGCTGCACGAATGTGCTCCAGGGCGCATTTGGTCAATTGCCCCTTGTAGGTCAAGTATCCAGAGCTTCTGCCTTCAATGGCCAAAAGAAGTGCAGGTCCGTGCCAACGTTTCAGAGTGAGCTTCTTCTTGGACGGCGCTGTCTTGTTGTTGTACTTCAAAGGCCTGTAGAAGTAGCAGATTGTGCCAGGCTCTGGAAGCTGCTCAATGGTTGGGTTTCGGGATCGTGCTAGTTCTGCCTTCCGCAAACTTCGGCTGAAGTGAAGGCGGGTCATTCCTAGTTTGGCAACTTCTCGCATGGCCAACTGTCTAGCCAGCGAAGGCTTGGAGTCAATGAGTCCATGTTCTGCAAGCCTTGTCTGTATGCCACCCAGCACGTCTCCAACCATCCTAGGCTGACGTCCAATGGCTGCCTGAAAAGGAGAGGCACCCAATTCATTGATGTCGCCATTGTAAGCTGATGTCGCCTCGGCAAGAGCTACCTGCATGTCCTCAAGTCCAAGGACGCTTTGAGAAGTAACGATGGCTGCTAAAAGTGCTTTTAACACTCCACCGCTTCTTTCTGCAATTCCATTTTGCCAGGGCGCCTGAACGGCGATGTGGTGCAAAAGAATGGATTGGCTTCCAGCATATTCCTCCATTTCCCAAGACACAAATTCTCTGCCTTGGTCCACGACCATCACTCTCGGAGGGCCAAATGTTGCAATCCATCTGGTAGAAAGGAAGCGCACCACAGACTTGGTTGATTTGTCTGGCAAAATCTCAGCCATCTGAAACCGTGTAGCGGCATCAGTTGCATGGGCCACTACGTACTTCTTCTCGCTGGTGTCAAAAACTTCCAGCAAGTCCACATGGATCTGGTCACCCATGTCGCGAGGCACAGGAAGAGAAGCAGGACGGCGGGCACGAGGTGGTTGTCGCTCTTGGCAAACTGAGCATTGAAGTTGTTTCGCCGCCTGAATTGCTTCTGCAGGTGCACCCGCTATGGCTAGGGCTCGGGCTAACCTTTTGCCCGATCTGTGGCCAGTGTTCTGGTGAAGTCGAAGGATTGTTGCGCGCATGCCAGAAGAAACAGGAATTGCAGTTCCTTTTGAATCCACCTCGTCCTCCACGTCACTGCCATCATCTTGAGGCATCACCAATCCACCGCCTTCAAAAGCCAATTCCTCCTCCTCAACATCCTCTCCAATCTCGGCAGCAAGAGCTTCACGAGGAGCAAACTCTCGTTCAAATTGCTTCTCAAGGCCCCTAACCATGGCGCGTGCCAAAGGCTTTGGGTAGATGCCCGCACGGGCTGTCACATGAGAGCCGCCCAGAACTGGCGCATGAGGGTGGTTGCGCATGCAAGTCACTCCATCCAATTCCGCAGCAACATCTGAACTTGAGCTCACCACTCTCGTTGGCTTCTTGTGCAACCAACCAGAAAGGCTTTTGAGGCCAAAACGGCATTGGTCAAAGATAGCGGCGTAGAGCTCATTCTCCTCAAGAAAACGCAACATCTCAGGTTCATTCCAAGCTTCACTGCCTCGAGGATTTTCTAAGATGACATGTCGACCTTCTCTGATCTGCAGTTCAGCTATTTCCAAAGCAAACTTCATGAGTTCACGACCAATCGCCCTTCTTTCTGCTTTTCTTTCGGGATGAAGTCCATTCAAACGTTGAAGAGGGCTGAAACCATTGCAAGGAAATGCTAAAACCACGCAAAAAGGCTTTTCATCTCTGATCTTGTTGTAGGCTTTGAACCTGTCATTGGCATCCAAGAAGTTCCAACCAGTTTCCAAAGATATAGATTGCCCCACATTGTCCACGTTTTCTGGCCTCTTTCATGACGTTCTCAGCACTCGTGTAGACCTCTGTGACAAACGGCTTGACCTTCGACGAGCCTGCACAGGGCTCAGAACGGTTGACATTCTTTGTGGCCAGGTCATTCGCAGAAACCTTGACATTCGATGGGACTTTGGCATTCTTGGGAAACTGCTTATACTCAGAAACCTTGACATTCTTTGAAGTCTTGGAATTCTTTTCAACTGCATTGGCGTCAGAAACCGCAAAGGACTCAAAATCAAAGACCAAGGGTTGGATGAAGGTTTCCTCCGTCAATGCATGCCAGAAATCATTCTCATAGTCAGCAACCAAAGTCTCACGGATCTTGGCTGGGCCCCAGGAGGTTTTCAAACGGTCAGCTTCATGCTTTTGCCAGGCTTGTGCAATCATCTGAGCCTGGCCGCTCTTGATCTTCTGGTTCAAGCTCAAGGGATTGAAGTCAGGGAAGTTCACGGATCCACCACTGCTTCGATCTGCTCCTGTGTCAGATCCACCAGGTCGATGTTCCCGTATTGTGCTCTCAGGGCTTCTCCATAGCAATCCTCCAGCATCGCTTCTTGAACTTGCTTGTAATCTTCGGAAGTCATTGACTCCACTTCCGATTTCGCATCCACCTCCATGAGATCCACCACCGGCACTTGGTGCTGTTCCGGTAGCAAGGCTTTCATTGCTTCCAACTGTGCTGTCAAGCTTGCCACCTGATCTTGAAGAACGGACAGTGGGCGCACCTCTGAAGACATTGAGGAAGCGCTCGCATCTTTGGGATGGCTTTTCGGCTTGGCAGCTTTGGCTTTGGCTGATGACTTTGCAGCGGTCGGCTGCACAGGCTTCTCTTTGAGGATGGCCACCATTGGCTTCACCTTTTCTTTGATCACCTCGATGGTGTCCTTGTCTCCAAGAGTCACTTGGAGAAGGGCTGCAAGTCTCACCAAGTCCCCTCGTAGTGAAGGAAGTCCCCCCTTTGGCCCAATCAAGGTCCGGGCCTCTGCTTCTCGCTTGTTGTCGCTGGCAAGCTGTTTGGCTGCGGCCACAGCTTCTGCTTGAACGGCCTTTCGGATCTTGTTGGCCATGCCTTTCATTGGAAGAGCTTGCAACATGCCCTCCACCGTCGGATCCTCGCAGAACGCCAATTTGAGGCCTATGCGTCCTCTCAGGTGTATGCATTCTCCCAGATTGGCCATTGTGAACTGCTTCATGGCGACCGCCAACTTGAAATGGCGCTTTGAGATCACCCCGGCTGAAACCTGCTTGCGCGCTTGCTCCAACCATTTGTCTGTTGATGACGTCGAGGGGTATGGAAAGGGCAGAAAGCGCAAGAAAGGCCTTTGTAAAAGCCAAAGCAGGACGCCTCTTGCGGCCCACAGCATGCGCTCGTTCAGCTTGAGGAACATTCGGCGCCATCTGCCGGTCTGCACGCCGACCTTTGGCACTAGCATTTCTCACAGATGTCCTTGATGTCGTCCTGGTCGTAGAGGAAGGAGTCGGTTCACAGTGCTCTGAAGAAGAGCGCATTGAAATTGCTTGAACCGAAGGACCAGAAACAGGGCTTGACATCACGGTGCAAACCAAATTTCCCACATGTACACTGTGTTCTGTGAGCAAATGGTCATGTTTTGCCACCCTCAATGAACGTTGACCCTTGAAACAATAGTTCAACCAATCTGGTGTCGACATCTGCAACTCAATGATGCCATCTTGTCCAATCCTACGCCAACGCTGAGAGCCCACACCTGGCCATGCAGCAGGAATCAAAGGCAGTAGGTAATGTCCTGCAGCCAGCTGTTTCAGTTGAATCTTCTCAGCCCCCAAACGTTCACAGCAAAGTTCACGGCGTGAAAAGGACAGATCAGCTCCAATACTTTCCAAAAAATCACGGCCAAGTAGAAGACCAAGTGATGGAACTGGCACCACCGAACACCAAAAGCAAAACAGCCTCCCTCCTATCACTGTTGGCAATCTCCATCGCATGTCCGACACTTTGGTGCCGCCATTTCCAAAACGAAAGGTTTCATGCTCAGGCTTTGAGGTCACTAGGCTCCTAATGCTTTCTGGTGCAGATTGAAGTCCATGAAGATACCCTTTCAACCAATCCGGTCCAGCACATGTTCTGTTGCATGCCGAATCCAAAGCTCCAACAAGACGTTTGTCTTCTGCCAGCTGTGCAATCAGCGCTTCTTTTGTCACGGAGTGGGCATCTTCAAGTGCAGCTACAAAGGACTGGGACAAAGGTTGAGCCGACACGGTGAGCACCTCATGGCTTTCACCTTCCGCTTCATCCACATGTTCTGTATTCAAAGTTTCAACCACTTTGACATGTCGGCTGCCGGGTTTCTTCAACGAAGACTTCCTTGCAAGGCCTTGTCCAGGTTTGCCACATTCCGGGTCTCCAGCCCAGTGTCCTGGAAGGCCGCAATCGAAACATGGGTTCTTGGCAGTCTTCTTTGGGTTGTTCTTCGAGGTACCATCTGCTGGTTTCAGGTAACCCCGATCACGTTTCACTTCCTGCAACTTCGTTCGTGCCTCCTTCATGGTGAGGAGTGCTTCAGCTGCGGTTTCAACTGATTCTTCTATCTCCTGCAAGGTCGTGGCATCGACGCCGTTGTCTGCAGCGTCATCCAACTCAGCCGCAAGAGCTTCGGCTTCACTTTTCAGCATGTCCTCCAAGTTCGGTTCAGCCTCATTCTCATCTTCCAACAGCTCTGCTTCCTCATCAGGTTCAGGGTCCTCTGCTTCAGAAACCATGGCCTGTCGGGCCGGGAAAGGCTTTCTAAAACCACTGAACCTGCTTGATCCAGAAGTCGTCGAAGTCTTGTGAGACCTCGGCACAGAGCTAGCCATCGAAGGTGCATAGGACGAGGGCTTGCTTGAAGGATTCTGTGAAGTCAAAAACCTCTGCATCAAGGAACCACCCTTGTTGTTGCTGTCTCCAAAGGACTTGCGCACCAACGGATCCTGAGAATGCAGATCTTTGAAAAGTCGAAGAACCTCACGTTCGATCGTCTCGTACTCCTCAGCGCCTGACAAGGCTGTTTCCAGGAGTTGCACTCGCAGCGGGTCAAGACCAAGCTTTGTCTTGAAAAACCATCCAACTTCACCGGAAGGCAAGGTCACTCCCTCCGTTCTGAGGTCTGCAAGAGAAACTCTAAATCTGGAGCAAAACTCAGCTATGCGTTCACCTGGTTTTCTCTTCAGCTCCAAGTAAAACAAATTTCTCAGCTCTCCACGTTTGTCAAGTGTTGTTTTGCCATTGATGCCCTCTAACGCCTTCAGCAACTTTGTCAAGCCGCTCAGCGGGTCCTCAGGCGTAATGACAACTTCGTCACCTGCCTGTGGATCTTGACCTTTAACCTCCTTCTGGTACTCAAGCTCATCTGGATTGAACTCTTCACCTCTTTGGCGAACTACGCCTGACTGTCTCAACAACCAACGTGCAGCAAGGTTGTATTTCTTCGTTCCTTCTAAGTCCAGGCTGCTAGTCCACCATTTCATTTCTCTCTGGAAAGCTCGCCACGTCTGTGGCGATCCGTCCCAAACTGGAACGCGAGACCAGGCACCTCCAGATTGGTCCCTCTCTGCATCTCCCATGACTTGAATTTGGCTCCCCTTCGGGAGATGAAACACAAAATCAGCAAAAAGGTTGAATTCAGTCTCCAACCGGCCACAGACTAAGGCGCTTGCCAGCTGTAGATGGTGAAGACAAGGACCGCACCCTCGATCCTTAAGAACGTTGCCAGGTCACCGCGTGGATTGCCGGCCAAATTCTTTAGAACCTAGTTGAAGTCCAACTTGCAAAGAGATCGGAGTCAGCGCAGCAGCAGCAAAAGCGCAAAGAGCCCCAAGATCGCAAAGTACGGCTCCGGTGCCACTGAAGTTTCCAAGCTGCAACAGCTCGCTTAGCAGCTTTTCCGGCGCAGGCGTAGCAGCATAAATGGCTTTAGGCCTAGTATTTCGAATGAAATGTAAAACGGCAGCGGCACATGGATTCAGGTGCAGGCAAGTGCATCATGCCAATCGTTCCAAGCTATGATTTGGATTCCTCAATATTAAATTATATAGATATATCAAAAAAGATTAACAAAAGCTGGGAAAGTTTCGGGTGGCACGTTCGAGCTTCGATGGATGCCCATTTTCCTATTGCGCTTCGCTTGTACACCCTGTTGCAGGGAGCCCAAGCTACTGGAAATCTCAAAAAAAACACCCCTCAAACAATTCACCTGGCAAAAATGCAGAAACGTCAATGGAGATACCCTCTGGTGAACTAACATAGCAATGGAAAATGGCTATTTATAGTGGATTTTCCCATTAAGAACGGTGATTTTCCATTGCTATGTTAGTTCACCAGAGGGTAATTATTTACAAAATCGATGCTGCAGACTGCAAGCATGACTTGCTCACAAGTCGGAAACCTCGGTTGCTGCCATGGACTGTACTTGGCTGCAGGGTTTACAAATTTCAATCGAAATTGACAGGCAACGGGCCAACGGGGGCAGGAATTGGACCGAACTTGCCTGATGGAACTTACATGAGAAACTGTGTTACATGCGTCAGGAAACCACTCTTGTGGACAACTCGCACTTAGAATTTCACAAATTCCAACCTTTTTTTTGGAAGATAGATATTCGCTAAGAACATTCAAACAGCAAAAAAACGCAGAGACAATGTTCAAACATAACTGTTGGTGTCCAACCGTTGTCTGAAACAAAATGGAATCTCAAAACTCTTGCATCTGAGAAAACAACGGGAGAATTATATTCCAAGCAGAGTTGTCCAACTCCTGCTCTTGACGGAGCAAGTACCTTACAGGAGTCGTACTACAAATTTAGCACTAGGACCCGGAAGTCAAAGTTCTGCCTCCAAGTTTTCCAAGGCAATTTCATGACCACGGCTGTTAAGCAATCGTGCTGTGGATGTGACCGCAGACAGCATGCGCTCTGGACCGCAAGCTTTTAACTCTACTGGGCCCAGCTGTGCCTCTGCCTCAACAAGAGAATGCAAATCTAACTTTCCATGTTGGACGCTGAGAGATTGTCCCAATCCTGAAATCTCTCTTCCGGCCAATCCCTCCACCCGCCCTCTGTCCGGGAACGAATGTCCCTGGTCCAAAAGCTGGGTCTGGTAAAGGTATCTGACACTGCAAAGGTATCTGACACACCTTGGGATCACCATCAAGGCCATGCTGATCAGCAGAACTGCTGTTGCAACCAGCAGAATAGGCACCACTCGCATCAGCAATGCCCATGCCATAAAACTGCGTACCAGATACACAGCCCTGGTAGCCCAGCTGTGCGCAAGGAAATCTGCAGCCACTGCACCTCCAATGATCAGGGCAAGGTTCCAGCGCCCATCTGGCCTCAAGGGTTCAGCTTTGGGATCCTTAAAAATCGTAAATGGTAGATTAATAAATTGGCCGGACATAGGGGACATTACATGATATTGCCAGAAAAGAATGGAAGGAACAAAATGCGGAGCAAGGATCTTGAAGGAGCTCTATACATCTCTATATATACTATATATATAATTATATACATGTATTTGGTGGAATGATTTCCAGCAAATGGATGTATCTGCATTTTGAAACCCTGTGCCTGTGGCCCTCTTCTGAACGTATTTCACACTGCCTTGCCGATCCTATCCTTCCTTCGTTCAAGTGGAAGCCCGCTTCAGACACTGCCAAAGGCGATGTAATGAAAATCGAAATTTGAGCTCTCTGGCTCAGAGATTGAAAATCAATGGCATTCACAAGGCCACGATACTCTTCACCACGCACTGCCCAGACCAGCTTTACTCGCTGCCAGCGGCCCTGATCCGGCAAAGCAGCAATCAGGTCAATGAAGGGAGAAATGCCAACACCACCTGCCAGCAGCAGCAGTGCACGCTCTTCCTGCAAGGTACCTGTACTGTTACAGATGGGCTTGCCATATGGACCTTCGATACCCAGTCTCACTGTATCTCCAGATGTCGCCAAGTTGCACAGTGACCTCGACCAATCCCCCACACCCTTCAGCAAGATATATGCCCGGTCCCCATGAAAAATGATCGAATATGGGTGCCACTGAAGTCCGGAAATGGTCTTCTCCCGCAGATAAACCCAGCGCGTGCCTGGCAACAGATGCGATCCACTGGCAGATGGCTTCCATGACAACAGCACCAACGGTGACATCTCGCTGCATAGGATTCTGACCGTCACCTCTGTGCTCTCGTCGCGGGATCTCAAGCCAGTGGATCGATCTCTCACATAGAGCACAAGGCCAGGAAACATCAGAATGACCATGGAGAAGTCATGCAAGGCGCAGAAGAGCATGAACAGAAATGATGAGACCAAATGAGTGAAGTAGAAGAGGTTGTAGAAACCACGACGCACCAACTGCTGCGAGAAGATTCCCAACAAAATGCTTACTGCGGTTGCAACTACCCCAAAGCCATTGACAAGCCCAAGGATGTTCCAGCAATCTCGCTCCTCAGGCCCTCTACAGCTGACTGCCACTGGCAAGCAAGCCTGCCACACCTCAAACCATCCACCCTTCTGAAGGTAGTAGAAGCCAAACGCCAGCGAGTGTAAAATGCTCATGGCCAGTACCCACCAGCCCACGACCCGGTGAAAGGCAATGAGGTTGGGGTAGTCTAATCCATGCCAGTCTGATACTATAGACCGCCTGGAGATCCCCAGCAACATCATGCCAAGATAGATAGCGGCGGCCCTTCCTGTTACGATACCTGTGAAGACTAAGCTTTCCTTCAGCACTAAATTGGGTTTCATCACCTTTAGAAGGAAAGTTTTCACAATGCAAGCCGCCAGCGTGATGATGCCAACACTATGAAGCAGAAAATTCCATTGCAAAGATGATACTGTCAACACTGTTCCCGGCACCAGCACCAAGGACAGCACCAAGCAGAACACCAAAGTCAAAGTGGGAAGCTCAGCTGGTAGACCCTCCAAGCTCTGACAAGCAAACAAGGCCATGGTGAAGCTGGATTCCTCGATCAACTTGCATGGGGCAGCCACATACGAAGCGACCAAGCTGAGCCAAAGTGCGGGCAGGCCAATCTTGCAAAGGCCATGCGTCAGCTTCATCTTGCAGTGCTTTTCGTGCTGAGGAATCCTTGTACTAACAAAATGAATCACTAAGTCCCTGATGGCCACTATCACCACAATGATTCGTCCGTAAAACCTGTCAAATACTTGGGATCATACCTCTAAGAGATCCACACTCAGGTTTAAGGCACAAAACAAGGTGCTTTGTGTGTTTGTGTGTGAGGAGTTTGAATCTTGAGGGAAGAGAGAGGTCAGGGCTGGGGTTTCTTCTCATGACTTCTTTTCAACAAGTTGACTGTGGACTTGCTTGAACCAAATCTGGCGAGGGCAAACATACATACGTTTCAACATGTTCAAAGGAATTGAATAATTTAACATTGCAGCGCAAATGCCCTGCCAAACCGACATACGGGGAACTTTCAGATCCTGGGCGAGCAGTATCCCCAGTCACTTCTGTTCCAGCGACCAACTGCGAAAGTGACCACCGGACCCTGCCTGGCTTCTGGCGTTGCGGTACTTGTTCTGCAGATTGGTCAGGTTTCCCTGCGTCATCCTGCAGCAACAATGTCAGAGGTCCAGAGCGGGATTCCTCAGCAACAGACTCAAATCAGTTTGAAATTCCCTGTCCAAGATGTAAAAGTTGATTGAAGGATTCTCATTCCTGGTGTTGTTGTTGCAACTTCTCGCAAGATCCGATTTTGGGTCAACATTGGGAATCGATTTGAAGCAAGAGATGATTCCTATTGGCAACACTGAATCGTTTCTTTAAAACAATTTTTGTCAAATTGCTAAGATTTACAGCCAGCTTAGGCACTACATAACCCAGCATCATGACATGATTCCCCATGGTTCCCCATGGTTCCCCATGGTTCCCCATGGCTCCCCAAGCCGCCCCATGGTTGACCTCAGCTGGTTGGCCAACTGCACGAAGCTCCGTGCCACTTCACCCTGCTGACCTCGCTGGCCCTCGGCCAACTTCTTCTGGACCTCAGGGCTCCAACCAAGGCGATATTCATATGGGGATGGGTCAATACCTATAGATACATTTTTAGTGGGATGAACATCCATTTACCAGCTATTTTGATGTGAACTACAGGGGTACAAGGTTTTGACGCACTGCCATATGAATGCTATACTAACCATGAACCATGTGCTATCTTATCTGTTGTCGTGTTTTTCTATAAATTCTTTCAATGAAAACAACTTGGCTTTTTTGTACGGCCCCAAAAAAAAACTCTTAAAAAGTCCTGTCATGTTCCCCTATTTTACTTGGATTCTACCAGTAAACTCTGGGGTCTTCCCACCTTCCCCACCGGGTCCCCACCTCAATCATGGCGTTGGAGTGAGGGAGTAGGATCTGCTCCGCTTGCGACAGCAGGTGGCTGTTGCTCATGTTGCCCGCTAAGGTGGTGGCCTCCCAGGGCAGATCTTCTCCGGTGAACAGTCATGGGAAAACTACGGGAAAATCATGGGAAAACTATGGGAAAGTGAGGTTCCAATAAGCTGGTTTCACCATGAATAATTTAGGCTTTTTTGGGTAATCCACCATTTCTGGACAAGCATCACCGGCAAAAATGGGATAATCCACCATTTCCCATCCACCTTCAGCCTTGGAATTCCAAGCATCACCGGCAAAAACCGGTCACCCTGCCTGCTGCATGGCTTGCTTGGCCTCCGAGTCCACCTTGGCCACGTCTGCGCTGATGGACTTCAGTTTCTCTTCCGCTTCCTACCGGTGCCACGGTGGCATCGGTGCAGGCCGTGTTTGGTAACGAAACCAATAGGTTGATGAAAAGGGAGCATTGAAGGGAAAGCGACGTATTTTGGACCATTGCAATAAAGGCCATTCAAGTAGATTTTCCCTTAAGCCAATTCTGGGGCAGTTGGGGGTCCATCATAAATCCGTGAACAGAAAACAATCTCTGTTGAACCAGGTAGCAGGTAGCAGAACCATTTGGAACCAAAAACCAACAAAGGTGTTGCCGATCCATCAATGACTGACATAGTCTGACATGTATTGGTAGTTGTCCCTGTTGATTTTGGTCGTATAACCTCAAGCTCAATCATCAAGAAGCATGGGTCATGGGTCCACGGCCCTTTGTTCATGTGTATACAATTGTACACAATTGTAAAGAAGTGTTGTTATAATCTTTTGTGAACATCAACATAGAAATGAGATGCCATATTGGTCATAGTATACATACCGCTGTAGATCATAAACAAATAGGAATGGGATTGTCATCCAACCATTCTGGATGTCTGACACGGGAAGACACCGCTGGATTTTGGATTTGGGCCTGAAAAGCATGGGAAATTTACCTATTGATTTGGCGATCATATCACCCTATTCCAACAAACATGGGCAGATGAGTATGGAAAAAATGGGTATTGCAAACTTGTGCGGGGCTCTATCATAGACTACCAAATAGACAAACTTGGTGATTGGTCTGTCCTGAAAAATGGCAGAGACCCGAACCAACGGGATACTCCCATTGATGGATGGTCGGACAGCACGGACAAAATGGTCACAACGTTCAAAATTCACTTTGAAACCACTAGCCAGCACAAGTGGACAAAGTTTCACAAATATTGTGTAAAATCATACAATTATACTATATTATATTATATTATATTATATTATATTATATATTATATTATATTATATTATATTATATATTATATTATATATTATATATTATATATTATATATTATATTATATATTATATATTATATATTATATATTATATTATATTATATATTATATTATATTATATATTATATTATATTATATATTATATTATATTATATTATATATTATATATTATATATTATATTATATTATATATTATATTATATATTATATTATATTATATATTATATATTATATATTATATATTATATTATATATTATATATTATATATTATATTATATATTATATTATATTATATTATATTATTATATTATTATATTATATTATATTATATTATATTATATTATATTATTATATTATATTATTATATTATATTATTATATTATATATGATATATGTGTGTGTATATAGTGTCCCAAAAAAAATAGAAAAGCACATCATCACTATCTTAGTAGAATGGTTCTTTTCTATCCTTTTGGGGATTGCTATATGCATGTAATTATTATATATATATACATATACATAATATACATATGTAAATCTCAAAATTGGAATACCCAAAAAACATCAAAAAAATCATTGGCTTCCCCATGGAAAAGCACCAATGCTTGGATGATTTTGGGCGCCTTGCGGTCCATCTCGTGCTTGGGTCCCACCTGCAAAGTTGGTCGTACCTGGCGCAGGCCAGTGGTCCCTCAAGGCGGGGACCATTGGCTAACAATGGCTAATATATGTTAACATATTAATTAATATGTTAACATTAATGTATATATATCATATGTTAACATATATTAACATATATCAATATAAATATATATATATATATTAATCTTAACATGGCTAATATATGTTAACATTAATGTACACCATATGTTAATATCCTTCAGTTTTCTTGGCACATCTTCCAATTTGTCTCTCCATGTTGATCCGTTCCATTAAATCGTCCATTTAAAGGCCTTACCCCCCAAAAGTGAACTGCTTCCTCAGTTTATCAGGGGATCTAGCATTATCTAGCAATTTCCTTCAAAAGATCTACCCTCCGGTAATCAAACATGAAAAATCTCCGATTTGGGGGTTCTTAAAATAGGGGATCCCCAAATCCATAGGTTTTAATACTAAAAGTATCTAATTTTTGATGATTTCAGGGTACACCCCCCATTTTTGGGAAACCACCATTTACGTGGAAATTGTCCCATTAAACCCCATGTTCAAATGGCTCTGTAGACTGGGGATATACCATGGATCACCATGGTATCCCCCTAACCACAGGTATTCCCAGCTGGGGTATCCCACTTGACCATCCCAGGGGATTTTCCATCCCAGTGATGGTGGAACAAGGCCCTTGTCGGCGCAGTGCGACCAGACCTGAAAAAAAAACGAGTGTGAAGCGTTCAAATGATTTTTCATAAAGAAAAAGAAGTCCTGGAATTCAGGTCTCTGTGTCTCTATGTTTTTGGTAGGACCTCCAGTCAGGTGTTTGTTTCCACTTCGAGAGGGGCTCAACACTTCGAAATTCGGGCCACCAGTCCCCGCCTGCGTCCCACCGAGTTTGTTGCCAAACCACCAGCCTGAAGATAGGGGGTCGCTGTCTCATGCTTAGGTGGTGGAAAATCAACAATATGTAATATGATTGATTCATTGAATCGAATATGATATATGATATATAGGGGGTGATAACCTAACTGGCTTCATTGCGGATTCAACAACCAATCTGTTTTTGATGAACTTTAGATGCTTCGATCATTGCAGCATGTGCGTTCAGCAGACTGGACTCGAGTTTCTCCCCATCAGTCCGCACATGTCCACACCTTCGAAATTGGGACCGTCGCGGTTGTCCCAGTAGTAGAGGAAAACTTCCACAAGGTCACCCCTGGCAGGTCACTACTATACAAACAGCATCCCTAACTACGCCAGTGTATGTATTGCGAATCAACAGCTGGGGCATCCCCAAACAAATCGCAATTTCATGGTTGATTCTAGGAATGTAGTCATAATAAACCTTCTTGGTTTCTCCTGGTATCCCCTTCCGGGGCCTGTCCATCCCTCATCCTCAACACACTCATGATGAAGTATCATAAAGTGGCATGCCAACTAAAGTTCAACATGCATCATCCCCAAGATCTGCCAGCTTGACGAAGACTTGTTGGGTGTCTTCTGGAAGAATTTCCGGCCGTGGTTCACACCCTTCTCGACGTAGTCACCCAGCAAGGTCCTTCGGTCGCACTGAAAGAAAAGGTGGACAACTGGCGTTTGAAGAGACGATTCTGGGAATGGACTTTGACTTAAGATGTGTTCATTCTTCTTTCCTTTGTGCCGCCTTCATCCGCCTTCCACGCTTTGATCTGAGTAGATTGGATGTGGCTTAATTGTCGTTGCCCATCCCAAGGAGATGGGTCGCCTCACCTGATCACCACTTCACTCTGATCGCCACCCTTGGAGATCACAGTGTAGGCCGATGCTCCCGGCAAGGCCCCAGAAGCCTGGGCAATGGATCGCCCCAGTGGTCCTTTTTTTGGGGGCCCTGTGGTTTGACCGGGTCATTGATGACTCAGCGAACTGGGCTCATGGCTACACTTTGCGACCTGAGTGCCAAGTGACACGAGGCTGAATTAAGTGGAGCCATTGGGCTGAAGCTGTTATCTACAACCAATGTGGATGGGTTCTACAAAGACATGGAATCCAAACATCAAAAAATATCGCAAATTTGAGACGCGCCTTTTCAACCAATCTGCGGGTTGGGGCACTTGACAATTTGAACCACACCCAATTTCCCAGCCAAATCGGACAGTCTCTGAGCCAACCACCCTGCTGGTGTATTGCCAGCCTGGCAGTCGCAACAGTCAGACTTCCATTGCAACCTGCTTTGACAACAAAGATTGCCATGTAGAAAATCAAAAACCCTCAGGAGTTACCCATGGTTCTTCCGAGAGCCACATGTTTCAACCCAATTCTGGTTGGTCGCACGCGCATAAAAACACTAGAAACTAGACATCACTAGACTATATTGGTTTGTTTAATGTTTAAGATCCATATGTGGCTGCTATATAAATCTTCACCATTTTACAACCCTATTTTGGATCCTTCAAGTCCCATTTTGGTTGCGCAGCCTTCCCATACCGCCAATGGCTTCACGGATCACGGCCTGCACCGGCTGAGAAGGAGCAGTGGCTCCTACCGACTGCATCCTCTGCATCATGGGATTTTGTGCTTGGCCCATCGATTGTGGCTGTTGCAGCTGCATCTGCCTGAGAAAGATGGCAAGATCGATCGAAAGGTCAATGGGGAATCATGGGAATGGATCAGAACCCTGGTGTCCCTGGTGAATGGCAAAAAAAGTGGCTGTTATGGACGCTCATCCCCCGATAGATGGTCTCATAGGGATGGTATTGGCACATCTTGAATACATCTTGAGAGACTTGGCTTCAGAATTCCCTTTGTGAGATCCTAGGTCAGCCACGCCTATTATCAGCGAACTGAATATGCCAAGTAGCAGCTGCTGTTGCAACTGCTGCTGGTGCATCTGCGACATCTGCTGCTGCGGTTGGAAATGCCTAAGGGATCAACTGACCTTGATGACTTGATCTGAGGACGTGGCAAACCGAACAGCTTCCAGGGCCCAGCAGGACAAACAACACCGATCCAAGAAGAATTCAGCACCGGAAGTTCTAACATGACTCTAGAGGTTAAGATTAATTGTAATTGAGGGATTTCAAGATGTGAGGTCAAGATTCAATATAATTAAGATTCAAGATGTATTGGTGTTAGTTATTATACAGTAGATCCATCCTACAGTACTAATCAACCATATTCTCTGGTCAAACCGGCTTTGTCGGTCAATTCGCTGCTGTTCATTGCCTGAACAGTTTCCTTTTGCTTTTTTCATCCCTGCCCAATTGGGTAAACCACCATTGGCCCTGCGTTGTGGCTCAACATCCCCAAAATATCCAAAATGCATTTCAGAAATGCGCAGATTTCTTTTAGAGATATGAAGAGATGGCCAGAAACACAGCGATTCACAACGATCATCCCGAAAATTCATGAATATGTCACGTTTTTTACAGGTTTTCATGAGCCATTTAACAGCCGTCGGAAGAGCCAAGGCTCTGGTTTGGCACCTGCTGCATCATCTGCTGTTGGCCCAGCTGTTGCTGAAGTTGCTGCCTTGGAACGGGATCTATTTTCCGTCCATGGATCCGGCCAAATATGTGGAAAGAGCATTCATATACGTTAGTATACATTACCCATAGGATCCATGTATGGTATATATGCTAACATTTGGGTATATTGATGGTAAATGTTACCATATATAGCATACATGGGTTATAGTTTGTTCATCTTCAATCCCAAATGCGATTTGTCGCGATGGAAAGTAATGATGTTCATGGTTTCCCAAGATGAACGGACATTGATTGGTGCTTCCTCGCCTATTTTCCATCGCAATTTATGCCACGAAGCGACTGTAAGAGCTGCTGCTGGTTCACCTGCGGCTGCATCATTTGCCTCACCGGAGTGTAGCTGCTTGGTCACTTCAACCTCCCTCAAAAGATCAAAGCCATTGGGGTTCATCATCCACCAAGCAGGTAGCCTCCAATTTTTCGGATGTCAAGGGACTCTCTTGGTGTTTCCCGGTTCTCCACATCTGCAGCACTGAGGTCGCGGCATCTGCTGTTGCTGCATCAGTTGCTGCTGTTGCATCTGCTGTTGCATCATCTGCTGCTGCTGGAGCTGCTGAGACATGCCAAAGCCCATTGCCATCTGGGCCATGGCTGCGGCCTGATGACCGCATAACGGGCATGCCATGGGTGGCAACTGCAAATGAATATATATATATATATAATGTATTTATCTATGTATATATATATATATACCACATATAAATTTATAATATTATATAATATATATATACATAAATTATGGTTTCCTCAAATGAGGGTACCCCAAAATCGATTGTTTAGAAAATTTCGATTAAAATTGATGATTTAGAGGTACCCCCAGTTCAGGAAACCTCCATTTATATGTTTGCCGCAACGGGGTAAAACACATACTACTCCACCTGCTCTTCAGACAGCGATGCTTGTCACCCTGGGGATGAGGGATCAGAAAAAAAATGGCCAACCCTATGCCGTTATCTGGGGCCCTGGATGGACATAACCAGGTCATCAAATGGGCCCTAAACCATCCATCTATTCAAGAATGGTAATCGTAGGAATCTATCTATCTATCTATCTATCTATCTATCTATGTATATATATATATATATACAATGTATATATATATATATACTGTATATATATATATATATATGTATATATATATACATATATATATATATTCGATTGGCCATTCTAAATCCCCGGTAGCACGGGGTATATCAATCAATGGCTTCAAGGCTTCTTACCCTTAGAGACACCGCTGAGAGCTGACGACCTCCGCAGGGAAAACGACCTCTCCGGGGTTTTGGGCCAATAAGCTGCAAAAAGCGAGGCCACTGGTCATCACACCATAGGATTCCTGGAAAGATGTGTGTATAGTTTATCAATGTTTATCATTCATGGGTAATTCATGGGCATATTGAATTGTATGAAATTGACCTTGACCAAAAATGTTGCTATGTGGAATCCAACTTTTAACATATTCATTTTAAATCATTTTAACATATTTTAACCATGGCACAAATGGAAATGGATACTGACAATCCCACGCTGCCATGACCACCAAAGGGCACAGCTGCGATGGCTGATCCCGTCCATCCTTTTGTGCTCCCATCGCTGAGTCAGGTGGCGAAACCTTCATACTCAGTGGCATGTCTCAGCAACTTTCCGTCCATGTCTCTTCATGTCTCTGCATGTCTCTGCATGTCTCTGCATGTCGCACCTTGCATTTCAATGTTTTTTCATTTACATTTCAAGGGCGCCAGATGATCTTAAGCTGATCCATTGCTTAAAGATGCTTAAAGATGGTTCCGAGCCATGGTCTAAGAGTCTATGATGGTTGATTCATGTTTCGTTTCACGTCGTGATTTGGTTGCACACCTTAGCCGCCTTAGCCGGCCCGCGCCGCCTCAGGCAACTTTCTTTTCGGTCCTCGGGTGATTGCATGGGGCCAAACCAACCCAGCAGGCCCTGCAGCAATCAGCAAGTTTCGTCTCCATTAATGAGGATGGTCATCCAAATAGCTAACAAGAGCTCAGGATTCATGACCCCCTAGTTTCTGAACTAGACGACGGATGGCCGGAGAGCGTAGAGGAGCAATTTCTTCCAGTGTTAATATCAAGACAATATATTAAAGATGTATAAAGATGTATCATACGAAGACGCGAAGAATAGTATCAACACAATATATTACGAGACAACATAAGAAGGATGTATGAAAAGGATAGAAAAAGAGTTCTACATCAGACACCTTTACATGCAGCTACTTCACATCCTTTTCACACATAAACGTTTTTACACACAGACGCTTTTACACACAGACGCTTTTACACACAGACTCCTTTAATTTTACACAAGCGCCTTTACACACAGATGCTTTTACACACAGACGCTTTTACACACATGGCGCTGTGACACAGACGCTTTTACACACAAACACTTTTACACACAGACGCTTTCACATACAGACGCTTTTACACACAGACGCTTTTACACAGAGATTTACACACAGACGCTTTTACACACAGACTCCTTGACACACACAGGCGCTTTTACACACACACACACTTTTACACAGGCGCTTCTTTTACACACACAGACGTTTTCACACAACGCTTTTACACACACACAGATCGCTTTTACACACACACAGAGATGCTTTGACACACACACAGAGAGAGAGAGAGACACTTTTACACACCGACACTTTTACACACAGACGCTTTTACACACAGACACTTTTACACAGACGCTGTTACACACACACTGACGCTTTTACACACAAACGCTTTTACACACACCTCAAGATCACAATTTTACATCAATTTTGGACCATCGACCCGCATTTCGTCCGAAAGGGTTGCGCGGGAACCCTCAAAATCGCAATTTTTCCTTCAGTTTTTAGACGATCGACCCTCATTTCTTGCGAAAGGGTTGCGTGGGAACTCTCAAAATCGCAATTTTCCTTCAGTTTTTGACGATCGACCCTCATTTCGTGCAAAACGGTTGCGTTTCGCGATCGTTCGTGGCGACCGCCCCCGCCTTAAGAGAGAAGAGAAATTAGCAGACGAGAGAGAGAGAGAGAAGGAGAAGAAGAGAAGAGAAGAGAAGAGAAGAGAAGAGAAGAGAAGAGAAGAGAAGAGAAGAGAAGAGAAGAGAAGAGAAGAGAAGAGAAGAGAAGAGAAGAGAAGAGAAGAGAA